TCTCGTACTATCACGGATGCCCCGTGGTGTTTGACGCGTTACGCTACACTAGCCTGCTCAGAGCAGAATATATCAGATGCAGATTTAAAACTTTGACAATGAAAGTGTACAATACACAACAGGTTGTCATTTTAAAATGATTCTTTTGTTGACCAGATGCTGCATTAGTAGCCATCAAGGCTGATGGGATGTTGACCTTTCTCAACAGTGTAGCAAAAATACACACAAATCATCAAACAGAAGGACTGTTGTCGAGTCACCTGGCTGAAGGGAGGAACGTCTTTGAACGGCCCGTACTCGATGGTCTCGTCGCTCTTGCTGGGGTTGCCCAGTTTGGTGTAGGACTCCACGGTCTTGGAGGCCAGGCGCACACGGGTGGTCTGGGAGCGGGTGGGGTACGGGGAGAACAGGTAGTGGTTCCCCTGGAAGACCACCAGCTGTCGCTCGGCCTGGGTGATCTGGGTGGGGAAAGGCTTCAGCACGTGACTGAACACGGTCTCGACCTTCACCCGCAGCTTCGCCCCCGGAGCGAGAGGAGACGGCAACTGGGCCTCGAAGAATTTACCACTGCAGGAGAGGAGCAGACAAGATCAGGTCAATGCTGACCTCCAAGAAGAGGAACATACCTATACACACACACACACACACACACACACACACACACACACACACACACACACACACACACACAGGCGCGTCTCTCACAGCAAACGTGGAACTTCTCACATGTTTGTAGTCTAAAAAGCTAAATTTAATACGTTTTCAAACCACATCAATTTGCATTTTAAAACTGGATTCAAATTAGGGTTACAAGATTAATCACATTATTGCTTCTCTCGAATAAACATAATCAATCATCTGAGGTTATGTATCCTGAAAACTTCATTTATTAATCGCATTGGTAGCAAGGTTTGAGGCAGATATTAGTTTAAATCCCCCCAAACAGAGCTTTCTCTTAAATGGATACATTTTTCACCCAGTCTAATACTTTATCTTCCCAACCTGGCAACCGCTTCTGCACCGCAGTGTTGATGACCTGAAAACCATCTGGAGTTTAAAGATGTCTAATATGATATTCTGTGCAAATTCAAGTGCAATACTGCACGTTTGAGTTCTTTATGAAGCCACTTGTGCTATTGCTTCAACAAAATCTGCAAGCAAACTGATCCAAACATGCATTTTGACTATATCGGTTTAAAAAAAGAAAATCACAGACATAATTTGGGATTAATATGACAAATTTCACTGTTTAAGCTTTTGAGAGATGCTTCTTAAAGTTTTACCAGTATTCATAATGCAGAGTGTAGTGTTTGACTGATATAGGTTTTATGATGGCCACTAATAATATATATATATATATATATATATATGTGTGTGTGAATATGAAGGACACAGACAATTTAATGATATAAATAGCTTGCTATCTACTTTACATAATATTTACAAAATATAATATTTGTTAGTTAAAAATTATTTGAATTTGACAAAATAATCTGCAAAGCAAATTTCTTAGTTCTGTAGTGCTATTATGACATTTTCAGAAATAAAGAAATTGTTAAATAAGAAAATGTAAAAGGTTTACTTTACACTATTCAACAATAGTTGGTCATCTAATAAGTCTGTGTGCACTGGGAATCATATTTTCTTAAAGACCAGGCAATGCTAATACTACATATAATACACACACTATAATACACTGTTTGAAATTGCTCGCTTATGCGTGTTCAGTGACACCCAATTCACAAAGCTTGAATCTTCTGCATGGATGGACGGTCATGCACAGTCTACATGCATTTTTTATACAGGATACAACACCTGTACTTTTTTATAATGATCATAAAAATATATATATATATATATCAGTCGACTGCTACTTTCTAAATGATGAAAAATGGTAAAACTTTAAGAAGCATCCCTCAATATATTAATTGTAAATATATCAAATTATGTATACAATTTCAAAATAAAAGTCCTGCTTAAGACACCAAACAGAAAAAAGTAATGACCAAATACAAGCTAAAAAAAAGGCAAATATCGTCTGACGTACGGACCTTGGGCTGACCACTGGGTAAGTGAGTTTATGTATATGATAAATATCATAAATCAGTGACCACGTGAAATTGGAATGTTTCAGACGAAATGTAAAACTAAAATCTTTCTTAAATAAGAACAACTGTGATTACTACTAAATTATAATTTGAGCAAAACAATTAATTTAACAATTATTGAGCAGCCCTAAATTAAATCTGATTTTGTCACCACAAAATAAAAACTGACAACACTTACTGCATTAGTTATTATAAACGAAATTCAAGTGCCCTCATATTCTTTAATCAAAATAACTTCCCCTCCCTCTTCAGTGACTTCTCTTCACTGACGATGCGTTTACTGATGCGAGGGGCGGGGCAACCTGTCACTCACATGAGATCCACCAATAGCAGACCTCAACCATCCGATCAATTTCCCATGGTCAAAAAGACACAAACATTTTTATTTTTCTTGCTCGAGAAGCGGTATTCGTCACAACAGTGAAGAAATGATGATGGCAACTTTTGTTTCACGACACTTTAATACTTTCTCCCAGTGTTTACCTTTGTCCATCGATAGTTTTCTCTTTCAGCTCTAGGCTTTCATCCTCATCTTCCTCTCCCTTTACCTGAAGATACAAAAACCTTCTGTTATAACCAGAAACTTCTTAACATGCAGTCTAAAGGAAGAAAAAACAGGGGAAAAACCCATGACCATAAAGTCTGAAGCTTAAAACGAACACAGATCAAAGCCAAATACATGCAAATGAGCCGTCGGTCAAACTCATAGCAGCTTATATAGACATTTAAGCAGGAGAAACACGTTTTTATTAAGAGAAGAAAACCAAATGACGCTGGATTTATGTTTTTTTTTTTAATAATATTGATGCAGTGCTCCAGCACGGAAGTGAACGCTGTTTCCGGAACGTACGTGTCACGCTGGCACTGACAGAGCAAAGCGGAAGTGCGCTGCACAACCAAAGCTAATGCTAACTCCTAGATATAACACCTCAATAATGCCATGTGCATTACACCTTAATTCATTTGAATTAATTATTTGAATGAACTTTACATATTAACTACATTAACTAATATTAAATGTGCCAAAAATATGTGCAAATGTACAAATCAAGCGGAATCATGCAGCTAGCTTAGGCTACAGTAACACTTATCTATGAAAAGTTGCACTCCCTATTGGCTCTATGGCAAAAATAAGTTCCAGATATAATTTAAAAAGCACGTAACAGTCCGAAATGAATAAGTTAGAATTAAAAGAGAGCCAGTGGATCTTAAGTGATAGCTCGCAATTCAGCATCACCCACTCCTGCCTGCTTGCAGATTTATTACTGAAGTTATATGATTTACTCACAGATGCACCGATGAAGGCCAGCTGCGGCGCGAGCTCGGGCTCCAGCGCGAGCGTGAAACTGTGCGCTCGCGACGCTCCGTGGTTCGCGAGCTGAATCTCGGCTGTGATCTTCCCGAGATGAGTGCTCAGATCCAGTGTGCGCTTCACGTCCTCGTTCACTAACCCGTCCGCGCTGACCGACGCGCAGAACAGGCTCGAGATCAGCACTAAACTCACCGCTCCGGCGCTCCACATTGTCTTGCGTTTATATGTTATGATTTGGAGGTTAATAAATGTAATAAGTCCTATCTTGTGACGTGTTTGCGCGTGCAGTGAGGCCTCGCGCTGCAAAAGGTGCTCCTGAAGGATGACGCTTCATTCATTCCCTCACGAGTGACGTCACCAACATGGCGGACAATGGACCCACCTTTCACCGCGGCTTTTGGCATTGTGATCATACAAGAAAACTTTGGCAAGACATTTGCCAGTTTATTGTAAACTATAAAGACTTTTGCTTTATTTCAAGTATGTTTTGTTTGGGGTTTTGATTTTTGAGAAGCAATATGAGAATATTTTTTCTTTGTAACTTAAATATTAAAACTATGAAAGTTACCAAATGATACCAAATCAAAATGATGTTAAGATCTATATCAAATCCTTATCTACCTCTTGTAACAAAAAGGCTACAAAAATCTTGAATGTATGCTCAATATTGGGTGTTTTTGTATATTTTTTCTGTTTTTTTGTATTTAAAAATATATATATATATTTCTTTATTTTATCATTAGGTTTTATGGGTAGAATTGTTTCTAATCGATAACCCCCCCCCATCTCTAAATTCAAATGTGATGTATTACCTATCAGTCCCTGTACATCTCTTTCTTTGTTTGGCTTTTGAATGTTCATTTCTGTACCTCGTAAGTAAAAGTTAAAAAAAAAAAAAAAAAAAAAAAATTCACTGGGGCAAAAAATAAAATAAACAAAAAGGCCTTTCACAGGGGCTCTTCTCTTTATTTTTCTACATTGTGACCGTTTCCTTTTTTGTTTAAATAATGTTCTCAATAAAAAATAAACTTTCACTGAGGCAGCACAGTAATGAATGTTGTATGTATCATGTCTTTACTGTCACTTTTCATCATATAGTTCAAGAAGATTTGATGCAAAATGACAGTAAAGATGTTGCAAATGGTTTATATTTCTAAAAATGCTGTTTTTTAATGTAAATAATAAGTGTTTCCAGTGCACCAAATCAGCATAATATAATGATTTATGAAGAATCATGTGACAGCAGAAAACTCAGCTTTGGTATTACAGGAATATATAATTTAAAATATATATATATATATATATATATTAAACTAGAAAAGAGATTTAGTAAACTTTAGATAAGATATAGAGTAACACTGTATCTTGAAAGACTAAAATATTACGGTTTGTGTTTTTACAGCATGTTTGATCAAATAAATGCTTTGTTGAGAGTTGAGGACTTCTTTCAAAAACAGTGGTGTGTGTGTGTATATATATATATATATATATATATAGAGAGAGAGAGAGAGAGAGAGTTACCAGAGTAAATGATAAAATGGTTATTTTTCCTTACCATACAAAAGCAATTATGTCCAGTAGTTTTGTCACTGTTAGTTTATTGAAACAATAGACAGATAGTGTCCATTCCAAAATGATTTTAGCTGATACAACTGGGATGATATGAAAAATAGGCCTGTTAACTTCTTGTCAAACCATTTCACGAACCAAGACCCAAAAACGGCCATTTCTACATTCTTTCAGAACAATCCTAACTTATTCGCCTCTCAAATTACAACGAACAAACACTTTAAAGTTCAACATTTTATGAAAATGTTTAAATTGGTCTAAGAACATTTAATAGTCAACATACAAAATGAGCCGATTGAAAGTGCTATTAAGAAACATCAACACTAACGCAGCCAACAGACGATATTTAGCATTACACACCTCTAAACAGAACGTCATTCGATCACCACATGAACACACTAAGAACAGCTGGTCTCACGGTGTAAGACTGATGAAGAGGAATGCTTCAGATGTTTTGGATGTTGTACGTCTGTTGAATGTTCAGTGTGTCTCGCAACATCAGGTCCCGAAGTCGCCACAGAGCGTCAGCCATGGTCTTGTGAGCGCCCTTGCTCTTCAGCCAATGAGAGGGCAGACGGCTCTCCTGCTCTTTTGTGAGCCGCACATCTTTTCTGCGAGCTGGGGTCGAACACACACACACACACACACACACACACTCATCATATGGCTGGTTTAAGATTTCAGAAATTAATGACAGACTAGTTGATACTACACATTTTTTCTTATCTAATATAAATATTGTGTAACATACTCTATCATTTAAAAGTTCAGAAGACTGAAAACTTTAAGATTTCTATTTCAAAGAAATTCTGTTCTTCAAACTTTTTATTTATCAAAATGTTGAATATTCATCAAACAAAAATATGAAGCAGCTCAACTGTTTTCAACATTGAAAATAATAAGAAAAAAACAGATAATAATAAGAAAAAAAAGAAAAACAGAGGATCATGTGACACTGAAGACTGGAGTAATGATGCTGAAAATTCACAGCAATAAATTACACTTTAAAATATAATAAAATAGAAAACAAGTCATTTTAAACTGCAGTCATATCTTGTAAAATTATTTGGGCTGTCAAACAATTAATCACGATTAATCGCATCCAAAATAATAGTTTGTGTTTACATAATAATATGTGGGTGCACTGTGTATAATTATTTTGTATATATATAAATACACACACATGCATGTATATTTAAGAAAAAAATATGATTTATATATAAAATATTTATATATAATATAAACTATATATAAATCTATATACATGAAAATATTTCTTAAATATATACAAGCATGTGTGTGTGTTTACATATATATAAAATAATTATACACAGTGCACCAACATATAATATGCAAACAAAAACTTTTATTTTGGATGCGATTAATCGTTTGACAGCCCTAAAAATGATATGTATTTTTAACTGTATTTATGCTCAAATACCTAGCTTTTGGTAAGCATAAGATACTTGAATAATGGTTGGGTAAATCTCACTCATATTTTGTATTTTCTTTATGCAAAATGAAATTATTATTTTTTAGTTAATGCATTAACTAATATGAACTAACAATGGGCAATATATTTTCACAGAATTTATTAACCTTTAAGCTTTCATGATCATGTTAGTTCACAGTGCATTAACTAATATTATCACACTGCTCTTGAATCATTTTCATAATTGGGTCAACTAACCCTTTAACTCATGTAGTTAACTAATGTTTATTGTAAAGTGTTACATCACCTGGCTGTGTCAGTATCTGCATTGAACATGATGTAAATCTGCATTCTTACTCACCGGAGAGTGTTTGGTCCCACTTGCTGACAGTGGTGGACTCCGCACTGAGTCCTTCAATATACCTCAGGTAAGCCTCTGAGTGCAGCAGGCGCTGGGGTTTGGGTGGAGGAGACACGAATATGGGTGTGGACGGCTGCTGTAGAGAGGGCGTCCCAGCCTGCCCCTGTCCCGGGTAGGGGGGCGGAGCCTGTAGGCCTGAGTTCATCACACCCATCTACAGAAACACAGATTCAGAACGACTCCAAGCGCAGACATGATTCCCTGTAGCCCTCAAACCGTATTCACTTTACAGCCCTTAATCCTGTAATTGTGGACAAATGTGGGCACTCAGGTGTGTGATCCTAATTTTTATTTATTATAAATGTTATATCACTGTCTTCGATAAAGTTTTGTCTATCCATTTTTATTTTGGGGGTATTTTTGAATTTATTTACTTCAAAAAGTACCATATTTTCTATGTAAATTATGCTTATTTTTATGTTTTATTTTTTAACTACATTCAAATATCATTCCAATAAGTTCTTAGAGCTAAAACCTAAAGATGAAGTGACTTTGCCGTCACCTGGTGTCTTATTTTAGATTGCTCTAAATTACAGTTTTTCCCATTCATTTCTATGCCCATTTTTGACCCAAATACAAGATTAAGGAGTTGCTTTTTTCACCCACTTAACATTGTAGAATTGAGTAAAAAAAAATGGTGTGTGTTCAGGAGGCAAACTTAGGAAAAGTAGCCAAGTCTTGCACCGCTCAGATCAAGGGAAGTATTTTTTAAAAATAAATAAACTATTTTTCCCACATTTTTCCAGAGTACGGTTTTAGGGTTACGTTGTTGTTTTTGTTGCCAGAGATAAATTGCATCAACATTTAGAATTAATATATAAGGGATAAACACAGCATTACCTGAGTCCCATAAGCACTTCCTGTTGAACCCGCGGCCACTCCATTCATTCCTGTGAAAGAGGGATCAGCATACACTGAGAATAAGAGACTTTCAAAGTCCTCTGTTAATGGTTATCCGTTCTGTTCAGGCATAATCCACAGAAATTAAGACATATCTCAAATCAAGCAAAAGGAGAAACTGAGAGAAATGTTCACGCTGATCATATAGTGAGGGTCCAGGGACGCTCCAAAAAATATACAATGAAAGAAGTGCATCTAATTTGTGTAATAAAGCGAACAGATTTTGATTGGATAATGAATCCCTGCTCAGGAGAGGTAGCGTGGCCGAGCGGTCTAAGGCGCTGGATTTAGGCTCCAGTCTCTCTGGAGGCGTGGGTTCGAATCCCACCGCTGCCAAATATGTTTTGTGGCCTAAAGGTTTGAGAGTTAAAGAATAAATGTGTGTGTGTGTTGTTTGAATGTTATCTGGATCCGATATATCATTGGCTTTGTCGTGTGACCTAGCGAGTCCTCTCCTTTGAACAGTTTGCACTGAAACTCTCATTTGGACCTTGAACCGTTTGGACCCCATTGAAGTCCATTATATGGAGAAAAATCCTGGAATGTTTTCCTTAAAAACCTTAATTTCTTTTCGACTGAAGAAAGAAAGACATGGACATCTTGGATGACATGGGGGTGAGTAAATTATCAACAAAAGTTTTTTTAAGAGTGAACTACTCCTTTAATATTGTAACTGTTCATAGTTCAGGTCCATTAAAGGACAGGTTGGGTATTTTACACATAAAGCCCTGTTTTAAGATAATTTCTCATGAAATAGAACGGTTAAGATTGAAATTTGGACACGTTGCTGTACTGAGAACAGGTTTTATCGTAGTTTTTGACTTGACTTGGACAAACACTACGATAAACCTGTTGGAAAGCATCTTTTGCAACTATTTTTGTGTGAGCATATCAGTGAGTTTCACGTCTTTGTAAACTAAAGTTCAATGCGTTTTACCACAGAAACCGCTGAACAGCAGCATGTGTCCAAATTTCAATCTTAACCGTTCTATTTCATCAGAAACGATCTTAAAACAGGGCTTTAAGTGTAAAATACTTGTTCTTTAAAGCTACACTGTGTAACTCTTTTAGTTTATTCTTAGCTAAAAACACTTAGTTCTTTCAAAATATATGTGCTCATTAACGTATATTTACTTCGTTACTTCGTGAGGGTATAATATGCCATTGGAAATACATACGGGTAAGGGGTTCTAATGTCGGTCGCCATGTTGCCCCTCCATCTTGAAAGTACATTAGCCAAAGAGGGACATACCCGTTAATTCAAGCTTCGCCTTTCGCGTTTACGTTTGAGTTAACAATCATGGACGAGGTCGAACTGGAAGCCATGTTAATCTTGGACTACATTGGCCACCGTAGGAGTTAGAAACTAATATTCACTGGATGGTCATATACCTTTTCACCACTAGATGGGGGTAAAAATCACACAGTGTAGCTTTAAATAATACTTACTAACAGACACAAAGTTTTATTTCAGTGCAGTTAACAAATGGGACCTTGCTATAAAGTGTTCCCCCAAAGAAAGAAAGACATGAGGGTGAGTTTGCTCTATGGTACAGGTAGCCCCTCTTGTTAGGACTGGAGAGGCAGACAGGAAGCAACTGCGAGTGGGACGTGTGGCTGTGAAGTGGTCCTTACCCAGATACGGCATGCCAGGCTTTCCCCACGGGAAGTGGAGAGGTAAGGCAGGCATCCCCATGGGATGTAGAGGCATGCCGGCCATGTTAATCATGCCGTCGACAGGCCCCTGAAAGGGCAGCATGGGTGGCCTGTAACTACCCAGCATGCCTTTTCCTTGGAAGAGGAAGGTGGCGACACACAACACACGCATGCATCAGTATATCATGCAGTTATGAGAATGAATTCATGCACTACATGTAAATGAAACTACAATTAGAGCATGTAAGCTGATTTCATGATGAAACGTGAAACACATGCACACACACACACACACACACACACACACCCCGCCAGAGCTGTGCTTAATCTGGCCCGTATCCACCCGTTTCCACTGAAGAAGAGTGTTTCTGGGCCTGATAAATCATCTTTGCAATGGCTGCTGGGACTGGTACTGGCAATGGAAGCTACTCCAGCAGCTATTTTAGTATTTATTAATATTATTTTGAATTATCTTTTACTTTCATATTTTCACTTCATATTTAAAGGTACAACTAGAGCCAGACCGATATATCGGCAGACCGATATTATCGGCCGATATTAGGCATTTTCCAAACTATCGGTATCGGCAGTTATAATGGCCGATAAATGAATATTTCAAAAATAAAATAAAAACGGACGAAACACGCTTGAACCATGTCATGAGTGTTGGAGTTGTATAGTTTGTCCACCAGAGGGCGCTCTACATCGTTCCTGTTGGCAACACTCGTTGAGTTGGTCACATTGCTTGAATAACAATTAAAAGCACATTCCCATCAGTTCTCTTAAGTCAAATAAGCATAACAAAATTTGTGACTATCATGTCCAGTTTCAAAAATAAATAAATAAAATATCGGCCGATATATCGGAATATCGGATTTTAAAACTCAAAGATATTTGTATCGGTATCGGCCTTCAAAATCCTTTATCGGTCGGGCTTTACGTACAACATGCAGGAATTTTCGCCACCAGGGGTCGCTAACCTCTTACAATAACAAAGGCGTATATTAATGACGTATATTCCGCATTAAGCTGATGGATGAGTGAATACATTGATGTTTTTAACATGATTGCTAGACGTACACCAGCGCCACACGCAACGCGAGACCCGCGGATATAAAGGACATTTCATTAACACACAAGTGCTGATTTAATACTCACACAGGTCAGTTTGTTAGAGGGATTAAACTTGAGGTGACGCAGCGCTGCTTCACTTGCTCTAACAGTTTCACTATCACACTAAACGGCATTTGAGTGTGTTGAATGTTGTTAGTCAGTTGTTTGTTGGCTGTATGAGACTAGCGGTAAGCCAGATCAACATTAAAATAACATACAGACCATAATCTAACATTTTATCATGTTGAGCTAAATAACATTGAATAGTTTTATGTACATTTGCTCACCTGTCTAATAAAGTACATGCAACACTCGCGGCTCTGTCAAGTCGAAGTTAGTCGCGGACGTGGAGCTCTCGGCATCTCCAAACATGTTGATCTTCGTTTTAGTCCACTTTTTGTCTCAAAGTCTGCTTGCCATGGTCCGTAATGTTTGAAGAAAACAACAGCGTGAGCGCGCCGCTAGGCATAACAGAAATAACCCGGTTGTCGACGTCTGTCGCCATGGTTACTATTGCAGTACGATGTCAAACCTGGCGGAAACCGGGGGTAACGCGGATATGACGTCATAGACTGGCGACTCCTCACCCCCGCTCACACGCCCCGTTTCCCGGGTTAAAAATCGCAATTTTCTCACGATTTACAAATAGTTGGAAACATTTGGGATATTTTAAGTAATCAACTAAACAAAATATATAACATTTTCCTAGTGGTTTTTGGATATTTTACAGCAAAGTACCTTTAAGTTAAAGTCATTTATGTTTTTGTTATTTTTAAAAATAATTTCTATTTAACTTTATTTTTAATTCAGTTTTATAATTTTTTTATACTCATTTTTTTTAATGTACATTTTTTAAATAGGAAGTGTTTTCATTTAATATTCATTTTTTTAATTTCAAAATTCGGTTATCTGGCACTTTAAAAAAAATAGTTTTAGTCAACAAAAGCAACACTAGCGTTTTTATTTTTGTAATCCATCTCATAGCACTACACTTTTCATTTAGGCTGGGTTAAAAATCGCAATTTTCTCACGATTTACAAATAGTTGGAAACATTTGGGATATTTTAAGTAATCAACTAAACAAAATATATAACATTGGCCTAGTGGTTTTTGGATATTTTACATCAAAAGTACCTTTAAGTTAAAGTCATTTAGTCATCAAAGTCATCAAGTTTTGGTTATTTTTCAAAATAATTTCTATTTAACTTTATTTTTAATTAAATTTTTTTACTCAGTTTTTAAATGGGAAGTGGTTATCTATTATTCATTTTTTAATTTCTGCTTAAATTCGGTTATCTGCCATTTTAAAAAAAATAGTTTTAGTCAACAAAAGCAACACTAGCCTTTTTATTTTTGTAATCCATCACATAGCACTAAACTTTTAATTTAGGCTGATATTATTAGGCTAATATATTAAATTAGTATATTATTTATTATCTGTACTATTCTACAGTATATAAATTAATTCAATTAAAACTAAATTTTTTTTTTAAATGCTACAAGCGAATATTTTTGGGATAAACAACCCGTTTGGTCATTATTCAGCTCTCAAGTCAGTGGAAACGGATCATTTCTGAGAAAAGTCCTCTGAACACCATTCCAATGAAAAAGGGGTAGTAAAGTTTCATGATCGTTACAGTTCATGCAGTAATGGAAGATATCAGACGTTAGTTTTGAAATCACAGACATGCTGAAGATGGCACCGGAGATGAGTGTGTTAGCAGTTAGGCTTCGTATTGCAGCTCTGTGTGTCCACCACACCTGAGAGGGGTTACCTGCCATAGGCGTCATGCTGTGGCTAAGCATCCCCATGGGGGTCGGGGGGGGGCACTAGCCCCATTAGCGCCCCTACTGGGGTACCTGCTCTCGGGGAGTTCTGCGCGGCTCTTTCCCGCTCCTGCTGCTCCGCTACTTTAGCTGCCCGCTCTGAAACGACGACAAAAGGATAAAACAATTTGATGTTTCATGGAAAACCTGAAGACATTGTATCCCATGCATAAGGCCGTGTGTCCACCCCACACGCGTGTTTTTTTTTTTCACGCGGCTGGCGTTTGTTTTCAATTGTTTTCAATGGGAGCGTCACGTTTTTTAAACGAGGTGCTGAGCAGTTTTTTCACGTTTTTTACTGGTCGAAGTAAAATCTTCAACTTTGTGTAAAGCCTTGTTCACACTACATGATTTTAAAACGTCGGGCTGAACTGTGCGGTTCACACTACATGACTTGCTCTCAGTGAAATCAGCAGTGTTCAAGTTGTTGAGCTGTTCACAGCACACGACACAACGTGATTGATCCACAACACGAGGTGACGCACTTGACAATAGAGCCAGACCGATATATCGGCAGACCGATATTATCGGCCGATATTAGGCATTTTCCAAACTATCGGTATCGGCAGTTATAATGGCTGATAAATTAATATTTCAAAAATAAAATAAAAACGGACGAAACACACTTGAACCATGTCATGAGTGTTGGAGTTGTATAGTTTGTTCACCAGAGGGCGCTCTACATCGTTCCTGTTGGCAACACTCGTTGAGTTGGTCATGATACATACATTGCTTGAATAACAATTAAAAGAACATCCGCATCAGTTCTCTTAACTCAAATAAGCATGACAACATTTGTGACTAATCATCTCCAGTTTCAAATAAATAAATAAAATATCGGCCGATATATCGGATTTTAAAACCCAAAAATATTTGTAACGGTATCGGCCTTCAAAATCCTTTATCGGTCGGGCTCTACCTACATTGTACATACATGTAGAAGTACCATTGTTAGACACACTAGGGAATGAGCGTGTGCAACTGTGTTGAAAATAAAGCGAACCACCTGTTTGTAACCGAACAAAATGGATGGAAAATATTTTTTTTTTAGTATGAAACAAATTATTTGCGAAATCATTTTTTTTTCCTGCGAAATCATTTACAAGTAAACTGATATTCTGCATCATAGCAAAGAAACGTCCCAACGTAAAAAAACGCTGCGCTGCCAAAACGCTCACGCGCCCACAGTAGGGTTGCCGCGGTGAGGAAAATTTCCCACCGGTTAATCGACGTGTGACAACACCGGTAATCCCGGTGTCACCGTGGAGGGCAGGGCGGGGGGGTTAAATAGCTTTTAAATGCGTGCGCGTTATACTTTCACTTTCGAAATAAGCGTCAATTGCTTGAATGGACAAAAAAAACAACTCGCTGATAATAAAACTTTTATTTATAGACTTTTATTAGCATAACGAACGAATAAAAATAACCCCATGCATAGGCTGAAAAAAGTGAAAATCGGCAAAATGTGGGCCCAAACAAATAAGAACCATAAAACGTTTATTAACGAATAAGAAAATAAAATAGGCCTAAATAAATTACACAAAGTTTAAATGAGATAAAACCAATTAAAAAGAGACGAATATAAAATAAAAACTTCAAAACGGACCTTAGCCTACATAAATGACATACTTTCACTTTCGAAATAAGCGTCAATTGCAATTCAGCGTCAATTGCTGGAATGGACAAAAAAAAAAAAAAAAAAAAAAAAAACAACTCGCTGACAATAAACTTTTATTTAGACAGCACTTTTATTAGAATAATAAACGAATGAAATATAGACAGAACTTTTATTAGCATAACGAACGAATAAAAATAAAGTGAAAATCGGCAAACTGTGGGCCCAAAAATAAAATAAAACGTTTATTAACGAATAAGAAAACAAAATAGGCCTAAATAAATTAAACAAAGTTTAAATAAGATAAAACCAAATAAAAAGAGACGAATATAAAATAAAAACTTTAAAAAGGACCTTAGCCTACATAAATGACAGCACTCTAAAAAAAAGTAAAACACTATAAATTGGCATTTATTAACATTAATATATATTGGCCAAAATATTGCCAAACAGGCGCTTTTGCATTGCGTTTTGACACCAAATCTTCCGCCATTATCTTGCTTTTCTGTAATTTGACTCGTTCTCGTCTCCACACGTGCTAAATGGAATCCTGATGCTTGCTGATCTGTGACGTGACGGCACGCGTTGCGCAGTTCATTTTTAATTATAATGCTCTCTTCAGAACTAAATAATTGAAAATTATTATTTTTAATTAATTCAAATAAATATTTTAGCAAAAACGAATACTTAAAAAAAAAAAGTCAAGACACCGCGGTGTCACGGTGGGAAAGTGATGTCACCGGTGATGGGGCTTAAAACCGGTAACACCGTCAACACCGTCTATCGCGGCAAGCCTAGCCCACAGCAGAGCGGCTAGCGTTTTCAGCTTTGGTGGACACACGGCTTAAGCGTATCCATGGTTTCCAGGCACTTTACCTTCGTACTCCGCTTTCTTAGTGGCCTCCAGGTTCCTCCACTCGGTGCCCACCAGTCGACTGAGTTCTCCAAAAGAGAAGTCAGGGTGCTGGGCCTTGATGACAGCTCTCATTTCACTGCTGAAGAGGATGTACCCACTCATGTTGATCTTCCTCTTTGCCCCCTCCTTCTTCGACAAACCCTTAATGGACTTCGGTGTGGACTGTGGGATAATCAGATGCTGATAATCTAGTCTCGGCATAAGACAGGATAAGGCTACTCGTGCTACAGTACTTTAGATTCAAGTCACATACAAAAATACCAAAATCACTCGCTTCAATATGATTAGCAAGATTCGATGTAACTGGACAGCTTTAATTGATAGCAACTTTCTACAGAACTTCAAAATTCGAAATCTCGAAATCGCGATCTCGAAATTACAGCCAGTTGATAATACCTAGAATATCAAAATCGAGCAGACACACTCTGTCAGTTCAAATCTAGACTAAAAACACATCTCTTTAACCTAGCATACACATAACACACTAGACTTCCTTAAGCATAGTTTGGATCAGCCGGAACTGGGAACACGTCCCGTAAATCCTGATGTACTTGGTACATCATAAGAAGGATGGCGTCTACGCTAATTTTAGTCTCTCTATTTAACTTTATCCCGAGGGACCCTCAATGGTGGACCTGCGCCTGGACCCATCCCAACTCATCCCAAAGTGCCGGCCTCATCGACACGACAGCCATCGGCACTGATCCTCGACATCTCGTCTCCAAACCGGCGTGATTACTCACACTTCCAAACAGATGGAAATGGACAAATTCTCTTAATGTTTCGATCCAATTTGACTTCTAATGCTGCCCGAGTCACATGGTTACGGCATTTCATTAGAACGAATGCGTCAATAGAGCCGCCATCTTGGAACAGGGGAGCCCGTCCACTTCAATGCATCAGCGTCAATGTAGACAAAGGTCTAACGAAAATAAATCATCATGAATGCGATTTTCCACTGTTGGAGCATTTAATATTCAACAATATTATTAATCTGCCTTACTTAGTTCACTTTGAAGTTAATTTTTGGTATGTTTTATCTTACCTCAAGGGCATCCAAGATGTAGGTGTCTTAGTTTCCGCAGTCGTTTCAATTTTGATATTTTTAGGTCAAACCGTTGTTGTCTATCAGTCATATAATGGAGGTCTATGGTCACCACCTCAAAGAGCATGCAAATTAAACATGATTTAATGACTCGTAAATGTAAGTACACATTGATGGCCTAAGACACGAAACGAGCGGTTTGTGTGAGAAAACCAACAGTATATCGTTTTACCTGTTGTAATCACAGCCAGGTCCAAGTGATCTGAGGAGCGCTGGAAGTGATCTCTCGCGCGGTTGTGAAAAAATCGAAATCGTTTCGAAATCGTCTTCCATTGGGATTTCCTGTATATCTAAATATGTTTAGATCTTCACAGTGAAGGGTAAAACTTCCCAAATCTCTGTGTAAACAATGAGTGACGTACACACGCGAGGATCACTTCCGGCGCCTCAGAGTACTTCGAAGTGGCTGCGGTTACAAGAGGTAAAACGATATAAATACTGTTTGTTTTCTCACACAAACCGCTCGTTTTGTGTCTTAGGCCATCAATGTGTACTTACATTTACGAGTCATTAAATCATGTTTAATTTGGACTTCTCTGTGCATGCTCTTTGAGGTGGTGACCATAGACCTCCATTATATGACCTAAAAATATAAATCTTTGACTAGAAACAAACTTTGTCGTATTATTTCCATTTTATCACCGCGAAGCTGTGATAAATAAAGGTGACTTGATTATCAGACAATACAGTAGATAATACTATGACGACTTCTACGAAAAGCCCCTTCTGAGATCAGTGGTTTAAATCACCTACTGCTAATACTGCCCTACAAAGGCAAAGCGCAGTAACTACACATTTGGTCAAAAATGAGTTAAGACTTGTAATGGGCTTTATGACGTGTGTTCTGTCTTGTGAAAAAATATCTGGGTTAAATTATGTCCCGTTTCTGAGATGCATTACCACATAATCTACCCATAACATGTTTGACTGGCTGGTATAAAAACTTTAGAGGCCTTTTTCTCCATTTCTTTGTTTGCGTAGTTACTGCACTTTGTCTTTGTAGGGCAGTATAGCTCTTGCACAAGCAAAAACAATGGTCAGAGCCTGCAGACCTGCGGGGGGGCATAATGCAGCATGTCCATGTCACCGGTCAGCTGAGTCTGAAGCTGAGGCATGCAGTGAGCGTCAGAACCGTCTCCATCATCATCACCCAGATCCTCCAGCTCTTCATCCGTCATGTCCGCAAACTTGGCCTCCAACTCTTCGATCTTCTTATCGAGCAGTGGAGACGGCTCCTTCTGAGGCACGATGAGCTTTCTGACGGACATAACCAAAAGCACGACTTCAATTTTCAAAGTTGGGAGTGAAACGAGCCACCCCACCGCTACACACAAGTCTGTTTTCTAAGTAAATCAAGCTTTTATTTTTCTTGGGATTACTGAAGCAACTGACCGAAAGTAATAGATTTCATCCTCGACTACTTTGGCAGACAGAGAGAAACGCTTCAGCCCTTTAAACTTCTTCATTTGCTTCTCGCTCTCGATGTAGCGGCTCTCACACAGCAACACATCCTCCTCCGGCATTTCGGTTGGCCGGCATGACAGGAAATCTTTGAAAGAAGACACTGTACACTTCCCTGAGGACAAAAAACACTCCAGATGAGGGAGAAGACATGGTGATAAGATTTATCCGGGACACTAACATATCACTTCATGTAATAATAGTCCTTTCAATGTAAATAACTCAATATATTTGAAAGCACTCTTCTTTCTGTTCTGAATTTCTAAAAATCACAGCTTCATGGGAATGTTATGAAACTTGGTGACTTTTATGGCATTGGGTATGTGAATACAAAAAAAAATTGAGGTCATGATCCGAGCATGCTAAGTGGTCATAAAAAAAAATAGTCACACTTGTGGTCTTCGGTCAAAAATGACCCCCATAGGAAATGAATGGGAAATTGACAACAAAAAAAAAATTATCTGAATTTTTGTACGTGCAATCTACAAATCGGCCACAATTCTAAAAAAAAAAGTACACCGTAGGAAAGGGGTGACACTCTACAACATCTAGAGTGCAAAACAGACAAACCCACCCACACACACACACATACAAACACACTTTTATACACATACACGCCAATAAATTTTGATTACAAAAAGTGTGTTTTGAATTTTTAAAAATCACAGCTTCATCAAAATGTTACGAAACTTGGTGACTTTTACGGCATTATGTATGTGAACACATAAAAAAAATGAGGTCATGATCTGAGCATGCTAAGTGGTCTTAAAAAAATAGGTCAAAAATGACCCCCATAGGAAATGAATGGGAAAATGACAAAAACACAAAAATTCACAAATTTTTATTTATTTATTTTTTTTACATTTTTTTTTTTTAAATAAAAAGCGTTTTTGAGATTGTTTTAACTATATATTCAAATCCACCAAAAAAAAGTGTTCATAAACAGCTGGGGAATTCACATGCTTCTCCATAGAGAGCTGTACATGCCATCTAGTGGTTACACCATGATTCTACGCTTTTTCTCTATACTGTAACCAGATGGTGCTAATTTTCTTCAAAAAATATTTTTTTCCTGAAGGCCTAGACTCTATATTAAACTAAAATATTGCATTAATATTTTTTTGAAAAAAAATAATATATATATATATAGAAAAATATATATATTTTTCCATGGCAAAAATAGACGATAAATATTGCATAAATATTAATAAATTCAATCAAATTGTCTCAAAATACTAAATTACAAAGAATAAATATTATAGAACAAAAATAAATTGCATTGGTTCTACTGGGATGGAGGAAATTTCATTTTTAGGTGTCCGGTCACTTTTGACCGGGAAGACTCCGAAACGAAGAGCACCCGAGGGTTAACTTAACTTTGGGACCAGCCCAAATACTGTTACCTCCAACACAGGTCATAGGGCAGGCCTCTTCCAGGTTACTGAGGAAGACCTCCTTCTTGTAGAACATCTTAGTTGGTTCATGCTCGGTCTCCTCGGGATGGATGAAGATGGGCCCGAAAAAATAGGCAGCTCCGTCTCGCACCCACATCTTCTCTATTCTATTACAAGACAAAATCATTTATATATCATCAAGACACACTGTCATGAATCCAAGTTTGCTGGTCTTGTTATTATCGACATCTTAGGAAGGGGCAGATGGGATTTAGCATCTGTAGCTATAAGTACACAGAAATAAAATAACCAAGGATTGCAATGCAACATTAAACAGTCCGTTTACAGTATTTTACAATCACTTTGTTACTATTTCCAGAACCTTGATGTCATTTTTCACAACATTGAGTTATTAAAATCGCTATAATCAAACACGGTTTTAAATTTTAAACGATAATACTAACCGTCAGTACATTTTATCGTGGTTTATAGTCCCATCCCTAACACAAAACTCATAACCAATGATCAAAATGCTCATTTTTCAAAACTCAAACCCTTTTCTCAATTGCCTGGATAAAATTAAAAACGGCCGCAGATATGGTGGTACGAAGCCGAAGAAAAAGAGTGTTTGTTTTACATTTTAAGTTTTTACATTTTAGCGCCCCCGATGCCCCCATGGCAGAGTTGGGTATTACCAGGCTAGTCCGTTCCCAATTGATTTCATTAGGGATATTCAAATTAATGAACCAATCAGTAATACCCTTGATCAGCTCTACCAAACGTGGATGTTTTTCCACTAAGAAACGAACATTGTTCTTATATTTTGAATGATACTGTGAAGCTGCTTTGATGCAATCTACATTGTGAAAAGCGCTATATAAATATACTTGACTTGTATGGAAAAGAGCAGCATGAATATTTTGCTAAATATCTCCTTTTTTGTTTCGTCGTTGGTACCCTACCTGCCCACGCGGTTGCGAACGAGCCCGTGGGAGCGGATGTACACGCAGTCTCCCACTTTCAGCCACATGTCGTTGTAGCAGAGCTGCTCGTAGTACTGGCAGCCTGGCTCGCCGTTACTGACCTCCAGGGTCACATCCTCCCTCTCCTGAGGACACAGAGTGATGGGCAGGCAGCATGTGTCAAAGATATATTCAATATCAGTCAATATACACTGCCACTACCCAAAAAGAGTTGTTGTTTGGATTTAAAAAGGCAAATTGACAGTTCTTCTAACCCTAATTGATGGAGTGTGTAGCTTTACATTTCTTAAAGGGATACTCTCCGCTTTTTTGGAAATAGGCTCATTTTACAACGTTATTGATAGGGTGACCACCATTAAACAAACCAAATGTTAATAAGTTTGTGTGGGACAATGTGGGACATGTTACCAACACTAAAGCACCCTGAAACTGTTATATAATGTCTATATAAAAACATTTATATACTGCCTTTCAGCTGATACATTTTTTTTTGTTCTTTAGTCCCATCCTGAAATTTTTATTTTATTTTACATGTCATTTAAATTCAACATCACTGAGCCCAAAGCAGCAGGAATCATGTAGATAAATATTTTAGAAACAGTTCTGAAGTCCAACAAAAATCCAACAAAATAAACAGTGAACAAATAAAATATAAAACAACATGAAATTAGATAGACAGTCTTATATATCAAGATTATATTAAAAAACAAAACCAAAACCTTTCATATTTTAAGAAAAGATGTGAATTTAAACAACAACAACAACAACAACAGATAAATTCCGTTAAATAAAAATGAAAATTTACCGAATTATCCATTTGTTTTCCGACAGGGAACATATTAAACGAATCAACGGTCCACATTTTGATTGACAGCCGTCACAACCTACCGTGACCGTGTTTACTCCTTTCTTTTCAACCATTGGATACTATATAAAACACAGCTGTTGTATTTGTACGTTACTAATGACGAAGCGCTGAAAACTATGCAGAAAAAGTAATAAGTAAAATGCTTTCTTAAAAATGCAAAAGAACGCATGCACGTTTTCTTAATATGATGATTAAAACTAATAGACTGACGAAAATGCGGGACATTTCCTCAATATGGGACGTGCGGGACAAGGGGGGGGGAAATGCTGTGTTGGGATGGGTGGTCACCCTAGTTATTGAATCCATTCAGCCGATCTCCGTTACTGGGGGTACCACTTTTAGCATAGCTTAGCATACATCATTGAAGTGGACAAGACCATTAGCATTTCTCAAAAGAAAATGATCAAAGTATTTCAATATTTTTCCTATTTAAAACTGGACTCTTCTGTAGTTACATCGACTACTTTCAGGCGCTGCGTCATATCATTAACTTTACATTTTCCGTCAGTCTTAGAGCACGATGTAACTACAGAAGAGTCAAGTTTTAAACAGGACAAATATTGAAACTATGTGGTCATTTTTTTTTTTTTTAGAAATGCTAATGGTCTTGTGCACTTCAATGATGTATGCTAAGGATTTTGAAGGCCGATACCGATACAAATATTTTGGGGTTTTAAAATCCGATATTCCGATATATCGGCCGATATTTTTTTTAATTATTAATTTTATTAATAATTGTATTAATTAATTGTATTATTTTTTTATTAATTAATAATTTTATTAATTTTTTAAAACAAATTCTTTATTAAATATTGTTGGATTTCACACACGTGTAAAAGAAAAGCTAACTTTTCTGCACAAGATACGTTTGATACTTTTTCTCTATGTCTAAATGTTCACTCCTCGCAAGTATAACTTACATTTTACAATGCAGGGACTGTAACTAGAGATATGCTAGTTATAAATACAGTAATAATTACTTTATTTAGGCAGAAAAAGTTCATTGTGGTTTCCAAGCTCATTAGCGGTCTTCCACTGATGATAGCGGCATTAGCTAGCTGTGTGGTTAACTAGTCTATGATGAGCCATAATTTAGCAATAGATGACATCATACTGCAAATTGTAAAACATACATTTTCAATATAACAGGCCAAGTAGAGATGAATAAAGCGAGTTTCGTCCGTTTTTATTTTATTTTTGAAATATTCATTTATCGGCCATTATAACTGCCGATACCGATATTATGGAAAATGCCTAATATCGGCCGGCTGATATATCGGTCTGGCTCTACTAAGCTATGCTAAAAGTGGTACCGCCAGAACCGGAGATCGGCTGAATTGATTCAAAACGGTAAAACTCAACAGTTTAACTCTGGGGGAGTTGTAAAATGAGCCTATTTCCAAAAAAAAAAAAAAAAAAAACGTGGCAATACTCCAGGATGACAATGTCAAGATTCATCAGGCTCAGATTGTGAAAGAATGGTTGTGAGCATGAAGAATAATATCCACACATGAATCGGCTCCTGAATCCAGAGCTTAAATTCACTCAAGGTGTTTCTTTTCATTGTCAATACATTTATTTCCATCAAGAGGTGAATTCATTTTTGGTCAAGATTGTGTATTTAATTCGATGAATGTATTTTTTCGGCGTGGCAGTGTACGTCTTACCTTATCGATGATAGATGGTACAGCTTTCCCATCCTCTAGCACCTCAGGAGGCTTTTCACTGTCCTGTTTGGGTGCAAACATGGAGGCCACCCGGACCACAGGCAAGGTCACTTCACGAATGACGAACTTCACCGAGCTCAGGGGCATCGTCCACATCTTGATCTTTTTGAAGGACTTGGTCTTGGCAGAATAACGAGACTCGCAGACAAAAACGTCTTCAGGTCGGAAGCTGTCAGGCTGAAGCTTGAAATACTCCTGAAGTCAGAGCAGATTTATCATGTTTTTAAAGCTGAGTATTAATGCAAAAATGTATTTTGACTCATCGCTGAGTGATATTACCTTCACAAACATGACGACACATTTGCCCATTATTTTATTGACAGGAATTTTGTTGAAATAGTCGCTTTTGAAAACTTCTTTCTCCAGAAATTTGCGTGTTGCGAGGTGAAATGTTTCGTTGGGTCTGTAGAACCAGCAGCCATAAAGCCAGTTCTCTCCTTCACGATACATACACATAGTTAGACAAGAGCTACACATGTTTAGGGTTGGTAACATTTTTAAAAACAATAATATTGTGAAATACTTCAAATAACACTTTTCTATTTCAAAACATTTTAAAATGAATTTAAAATGTATTCATGTAATGGCAAAGCTGATGCATCATTACTCCAGTCTTCAGTGTCACATGATCCTTCAGAAATCACTCTAATATGCTGATGTGCTGCTCAGAATAATTTCCTATCATTATCATTATCGTACTGCTTTTTTATTTTTCTAGAAACCATGATACATTTTTTTTCTAGATTCCTTGATGAATAGAAATGTAAAAAGAACAGCTTTTATTTGAAAATTTGTCTTGCTGAATAAAAGTATAAATTTCTTTCATTTTTCAAAAATTGAAACTGTTCCCCAAATCTTATCAGTAATGTATATTCTCAATCAATAGTGTCATGAACATAATATGCATGACAGCATATCTATGTAATGGTTTATGGGTGTAGTACCGGCATCATCCTGCCACAGGCGCTCTATGCAGACGATGTGCGGCTGCAGGTTCGGTTCTGTGGGCTCTACATAGACGTAGTCTCCCACATGGTACATGTTGTCCTTGAAGCTGCAGTCCTGGCTGTAGTTGCGCTGAAGGACTCCCTGCCATCCGCCACCGGCTGTGTCCTCGCTCTTCTCAGCCTCTGGAGATCAGTGTCAATACATTAATAACAGCCGTCAGCACCAGTGCACAGTTTAGGGAGCAAAAAGTGTGTTTGAACACAGGAGAGAACTCCCCTAAACGAGTGTTTTGTGTGTGTGGAATAAAGGAGACACTACCAAAATTGTGATGGTTAATAAAGACTTATGGTTTGTGGTTACTAGAGCCAGACCGATATATCGGCAGATCGATATTATCGGCCGATATTAGGCATTTTCCAAACTATCGGTATCGGCAGTTATAATGGCCGATAAATGAATATTTCAAAAATACAAAAAAAAAATGGACGAAACACACTTGAACCATGTCATGAGTGTTGGAGTTGTATAGTTTGTCCACCAGAGGGCACTCTACACTGTTGGCAACACTCGTTGAGTTGGTCACGAGACATACATTGCTTGAATAACAATTAAAAGAACATCCGCATCAGTTCTCTTAACTCAAATAAGCATGACAACATTTGTGACTATCATGTCCAGTTTAAAAAAAATAAATAAATAAATAAAATATCGGCCGATATATCGGAATATCGGATTTTAAAACCCAAAAATATTTGTATCGGTATCGGCCTTCAAAATCCTTTATCGGTCGGGCTCTAGTGTTACAAAATGTCACTTGTGTAAATGGGTCAATGGTAAATAAGAGTTTCTAAGATAAAGATACATTAAAAAAACTAACAATTTTTTTTTAAATTTGTATCCATTTTAATACAAGCTCTTAGAAATGTACTTTTTTTTCATGTAGGTAATATGGCTTTGAAAAATTTTTTTCAAAAATTTTTATCAAAGTGACAAAAATGTGGTGTAAACATCAAGTATAAATTAATTACATATTTTCCTTAAAACATTTGAGTGTACTGTGCACGTCATTATTATCAAAAAATACCCTTTTTAAGGAAAGAATTTGTTTTCTTTTTATATCATGAAATATTAATTGATAAATATTTCACTTGAATTGAAGGATTTCGCTTGAATTCAAAAAATGAATCTGAATTCAGAAATTAAAAACATGCTTATTTTTTCAAGGTAATTTTTTTCCCCAAAAAAAGAAATATGAATTCATAAATATTTCTGAATTTAAAGACACAATAAAAAAATATGTGAGATAATATTTATCTCATATTTTATTGACCTTGATTTGGCAGATTATACATAATATTATATATAACCAGTATATATAAATGTAAATGTTTATATATACAGTATATATATATATATATATATATATAATGTATAAGTATATATATAACCGTATATAAACTGCTATAAACGCTAGCACTAACCAAAAAGTACTAAATATATACTAAATATATATAAATAAATACTAAGTATTTATTTTTTATACTCTCCTTTTCGAACTCGTTCATCAAAATGAATGAATCTTTTTCCGAGTCATTTGGTTCATTCAACGAACGAAACGAATGAATTGATTCGGAAAAATATTAGTTCATTTTGATGAACTAGTTTGAACAGGAGAGTCACGAACGCGCATCACAGAACAGAGCAAGGCGAGCATTTGAGCTTATAAAACTTAAACTTTTTTATTTATTTATTAAATGAGCGATCGTTTCGCTTGATAAGACCCTTATTCATCATCTAAAATCGTTTAAAGCCCTTTGAACAGTTTGCACTGAAACTCTCATTTGGACCTTGAACCGTTTGGTTCCCATTGAAGTCCATTATATGGAGAAAATCCTGGAATATTTTCATCAAAAACCTTAATTTCTTTTCGACTGAAGAAAGAAAGACATGGACATCTTGGATGACACGGAGGTGAGTAAATTATTAGCAACGTTTTTTTTAAAAGTGAACTACTCCTTAAATTAAAAAAAATAACTTAAATTCAGAAATTAAAAACATCAATCATGTTTATCACAGAAGTCTGAATTGCATTATATGATGTGTTTCTGAATACATACAACTGAATGCTAGCGGAGCAGTACCTTTTTTCTCTTCTTCTCTCTTGAGTTTATCCTCTTCGTATTCTCTCGGCAGCTTCTCTTTCTTCTCTTTCTCCACGTCGCTGTGCAGGTGTTTGGTGGTGTAACCGAGGGCGGGCGTCAGCAGAATCTCTCCGTTCTTACACAGCTCATCTCTGATCCGGATGAAGAACTGCTGGAGCTCCACGGAGTCCTCGAAGATCTCAGAGTCCGTCCTGCGGCGACACAATTCAAACATTTGGTATCGTGCAAACCAACTCTTTACCTCTCCAGATACACAAACCCCGAGTACATGAAGAGCATCACCTGTGCAGACGCCTGGCTTTCTCCAAAACTTCAAACATATGGTCCTGGAAGACATCTAGCCTCCTGTAACGGCCCTTGTCCACGTTGGCTCTGATGATCTCAAAGTTCAGTGGAGTCTTATCGGAGTGGTTCGGATCGACCGCCGGGATCTCCGCCAGGGAGTCGCTGTAGCAGCGCCCCTCATCATCCTGGTGGCCAAGCACCGAGACGAAGAGATTGCGGATGAGCTCCTGGATGAGCCGTGCAACATCTGGGACATGCGCGTCGTCGCCGCCCTCCAAGTCTCTCCGCGTCTCCAAAAGCACTTTGTGAAGCACCAATGCATCTTTGTAGATCAGCGATTCAGGTTCGTTATAAGTGCAGGCGTTGTTGAACATCAAGACTAAGTCTTCCACCAGAGCGTCAACATCCTGGTACTTGTTGGCCAGCATGTGGCTCTTGACCTTCTCCATGTCTATGGGTTTCTTGATGGCCACATAGTAGTCTGGAAGCTCAGCGCGGGACGGGAGGCGGAGGAAGATGGTGCTGAGGCGCCGTCCACGCTTGTCAGTGTAGTTCTTCACCGCCTCGTAGAGCTCGTTGAGTTTCTGTTGGAGAGGGGTCAGGTACTTGGACTTTTTAGGAGAGATGCCACTCTTCCCTGGAAAGACAGAACGTGGTGGTCAGTCACGGCTTCTCCTAAGAGGACTGGTCAAATCCGTAACTCCTGAGAGCTTAAATTCAGAAGTGTTTTAATGTTAAAGTCCCCGTGAATCGGAAGTTGCAAACGACTTTTCTCCAGTGTTGTGACGTATTTCCGAGAGAAACGGAATACTAAATGAGTCAAAATAGTGGGCGTGGCTTTTTTTCCAACTAGCACCTGATTGGATCTAGAAAAATGGGTGTTTTATTCTGAAATGGATGATGACGCAAGATTACACACGCTGTCAATCAATGCTCGCTCGGCGCTCGCAAACACACAGTAGCTGTCAGTTGGAGGGGTGTGGTTATGGATGTTAAGGAGACACCCAAACCGTAAAGCCTACGTCATCGGGCAAGGTCCTCCAATGCAGAGGGGAGGGGCATTTTCAAAATTTGATTAAAGATTACGAAGACAAAAATTTTTTTGGTGTGGATTGACTTGCATGTGTGAATTGTTCACCACAAAACAAACAATTTAGGCAAACAAAGTAAGTATGGTCAATTTTGATTTCATAGGGACTTTAAAGTTAAGGTGAAAATCAAGCTTTAAATGTTGCCTATGTGGTGTTTTTAATATTCAAATTCTCAAAAACACGGATTGAAATCGCTGGTGTTTCTGACGTAACACAAACGACCTTGTAACCAATCAGATCAACGTGTGATCGTCAACCAGCGGATCTCTGAGCTGAGTGAGTGAGTGGAGGCGGGGCTCATTTGCATATTCATAGAACTGCGTATCCTAAATGAGGCAAAGGTGTAGAGTTACATTCAATTTTTTTTTCAAAGAGTTTTAAAGCGAGACACAGCAGGCAAAAACGTAAATTTTTCATGCAGTGATCAGTTGAGATTTTGGGCTTCAATATGTGTTCTTTCAAGCTGCTATTAAAAAAAATGTTGAAAATATACATTAAGTTGTTTATTTTGTTACATTTAGTTTACTTGCGGCAGTAAATTTCTCCCGAATTTACTAAGTTAGCATTCCAGCGCGTCACGCCGCTCGCTCTGTGTGTTTACTGAAGTCAGTCATGAGAGGTATCGCTGAAAAGCTCTGAATCTCCTGCACAACGCTGTGCAACCCAAATATGGGCATTTCCTTTCTATCAGTAATCGTGAATGTCCAAAGAGTGATTTAAAGCTAATGACGAACTCTCATTGGCTACTGCTGGTTTCCGCTGACGTGATTCTCTGAGACGCATCACGTGGTGTACTCTGCCAATGTTAACTCATTGAGTTACTGCAGTTGTAGGCCTTATATGCCTGCCATGTTATTAAATAATCAGTTTTCATGAGCCTGAAATATATTATTATTACTAAGGGCCTGAGCATTTACTCTGTTTTGAGAATTTTTTTCCAATAGAAATGTATTAAATTCCCTACTTGAATCTTTAAATGTCTTTTTCTCAAAATGAGTTTTTTGTCATTCTCCAGTCAGCCTATGTAGCACATATGTACACCAAACTCTCCAGTTATTCACTTCCCAGTATTCTGAAGATTCTTTTCAGAGGGATTTGTTACTAAATCATTCCTGGCCTGATTTATGTGACATTTTAATAAAAAAAAAAAATATGTCGAAAGTGTACTTAGATTTCCTAGGTAATGAAAGCATACATCCTGAAATCCCTCTGAACTTTTTTTTCATCTTGTGTGTAAACAAAATGAAAAAAGAATTTTGCACCTGGCTTTTTCATATGTTCAGATCTACCAAAATATATGCAAAAGTGCACATATTTAATGAGATAATGCCTAATTTGCATTATTAAACATACAAATTTTAAAAACTTAGTAAAAGTAAAAAAAAAAAGTCCTCAGTTGTAAGTAATAAACTGAGGAAGTTCCATGGTGATATCTAATATTTAAAAATGTAATGTCTCGCCTTAAGGGATAAAATTATTAACAAGAGGGGGACTTTAAAAAGACATGAAACTGTGTACAACAATGATTATTGGCTCTGTGATGAATGCTTTGTTCTTTTTCTGTAGGTCGCTTTGGATAAAAAAAAGTCTGGTAAATGCATAATTGGAAATTTAAAAATGTATTTGCAAAAGATGCAGAAAGTAGGAAAGTTTGAGAATTTAGTTTTAGGAATTCCGAGTGGTGTAAAAATGACACACTTCCAACTTAAAAATACTGCATTTTCTGACTCGTTCTGCTTGAATTGATGAATGTCCAACAAAGAGTGTCTGACAAACATGCATGTAGGTTCAAAACAGCCTTCACGATTTGCCGGAAAAAAAATCGTGATTTTTCTGATAAAATATTCCTGATAAAAAACTAAACATACTAATTTTCAGCTTGGGTGAAACGATATCCTCGTCATCCGGCGGTGGTCCAAGTTCCCTTCGTTTTTCTCTTAATATCTTCTCCAGAACGTTGGCGTCATTGTAAACCTAGAGTCAAACCAAACAACAAGCTAGTCATGAACATACTGAGCATTTAGTATTATAATCCCTACAACAATGACATTCTTAAGAAAGCTCATTTTCATGCTTATTTACTCGAGACCAGTGGTGCCCAATCCTCTTCCTGGAGATCTACGACTGTGTTCCAGATTTTCCCCACCTCGTTCTTAGATATAATGTCTGGAACGACACTCAAACTCGGCGTACATCGATCAACCCCAACCACTTAGCCAGATTTGTAGTAGTCATGTGACATCAGTGGGTTAGTTAGAATGCTTCGAAGCATCGAAAACACATTTTAGTCCAAAAATAACAAAAACTGCGACTTTATTCAGCATTGTGTTGTCTTCCGATTCTGTTGTGGATCAGTTGACGTAAGACACGGCTGACGTGTTACAGTCTGAGGGAGACGCACGCTGTACAAAACAATCTTCACAAACATGTCTAAGGATTTCCACACAGAGGAACACTTGCATTTTTATTTGAACCTGAATACACGGACGCACCAGACACACGTCAGCCGCGTCTTACGTCAACTGAACGCGGATCCACAACACAACCGGAAGACAACACACTGCTGAATAAAGTCTGAGTTTTTGTTATTTTTGGACATGACAGGATTGGTAACACTCTCAGTCGCAGGTTCCTAAACCTGTAAACCTCATTTACGTGCTTTGTTTCAGAGTGTCTCCACCTCTGTGTAACCCTTCTTGAAAGGTATATCAACTACAATGTATATTCCTTAGTCAGACTTGGGTAAGATTCTTGGACAAAGCAGACTACAACGATAAAGAACCCTGCTTAAAAGATACAGTCTTCACTTCTGAGTTTCCAACAATCTAGAAGAAATAAGTTCACAACAGGTGGAAGGTAGATCTCCAGGAACAGGATTGGACACCCATGCTCCAAGCTTATTAGTAACCCTTAGACTCACTTGAGAGCCTTCTTCATTGTAGTGACGCGCATTACGGAACATCAGCTTCATGTCCTCCATCATGGAGTCCTCACTGGGGTATCTGTCAGAGCGGATGTTGTGGTCGACGGTCCTCAGGTCCATTGGTTCCAGTATGATCTTGTAATAGTCTGGGTAGTCTTTTTTTGACGGCTTGACCATGAAGAGGTCGCAGAGTCTCCGTCCTGTGCCCATCTCCCGAGCCTCGGCCACGGCAGCGTACAGAGCCTTCATGCGGTTTTTCTTTGTGTTCTTCTTATGGCTGCAAGAGGTGATGCAAAGCGTGGACGTCCCAAATGATGCCCTATACACTATGTAGTCAACTATGTAGTGCCATAAGGGCCAAATATTAGAGCCCGACCGATAAAGGATTTTGAAGGCCGATACCGATACAAATATTTTTGGGTTTTAAAATCCGATATTCCGATATATCGGCCGATATTTTTTTTTATTAAAAATTGTTGGATAGTCATTTAAACTGGAGCCCGACCGATAAAGGATTTTGAAGACCGATACGATATATTTTTGGGTTTTAAAATCCGATATATCGGCCGATATTTTTTCTTTTATTAAATATTGTTGGATTTCACACACATGTAAAAGAAAAGCTAACTTTTCTGCACAAGATACGTTTGATACTTTTTCACTATGTCTAAATGTTCACTCCTCGCAAGTATAACTTACATTTTACAATGCAGGGACTGTAACTAGAGATATGCTAGTTATAAATACAGTAATCATTACTTTATTTAGGCAGAAAAAGTTCATTGTGGTTTCCAAGCTCATTAGCGGTCTTCCACTGATGATAGTGGTATTAGCTAGCTTTGTGGTTAGCTAGTCTATGATGAGCCATAATTTATCAATAGATGACATCATACTGCAAGTTGTACAACATACATTTTCAATATAACAGGCCAAGGAGAGATGATTGAAGCGAGTTTCGTCCGTTTTAATTTTATTTTTGAAATATTCATTTATCGGCCATTATAACTGCCGATACCGATATTATGGAAAATGCCTAATATCGGCCGATTATATCGGTCTGGCTCTACCAAATATATACTATACCTTTTGCGCTTGATGCTGCCACCGTCAGAGAGCGTGGATGAGAGCATACTGTCACCATCTTCATCATCTCTCCTCGTCAGTTCCTTCCTCTTCATCTGAAGACACGCGTATACATAAACATAAAGTGAAGACAGAACGGATTCTTTCTGGATGCCACACGTTGGTGGAACATTGAAGGTTCATTTGGGACTGCTAGATTATCACGATTTAGGAGAATGTCAACTCATATGCATGGCTTCATTTTCTTCATCTAGTTTCCTGGTTTATTATATTTAGTCTATCATATAAACAAACAGATTCTACATTATGAAAACTAGCTAAACATGTGAAATTCCACATATTATTGTAACTTTTAACAATTAACTGTTAAACAACAAAAAAGACCTGCAAACAGCCAAGATTTATTAAGGTTTATCACAGAGAAGGTTACATACAAATAAATATTATTACATTATAAATGAATATTATATTTAATAATAAAATATTTTATTTTTAGATATTTTTCACAGTATAAATGTACAAACGCCACACATGATATTATGGGGAAAAAATAGATATTGTTTAAGAAAGAATTAATCATTTTAGTTAAACTGTGGTCATTTCAAGGGAGTGAATTCTTAATTAATGGCTACAATATAGTCAGGGAAAAGCTCAAGTCTCAAAAGCTCTATAAAATGCGTTGAACCTGACATGGTCTGCCATACTTTTTATTTGTGTTTTTTCTGTTAACTTTGACCCTAAGAACAAATAATTAGAGGATCTGCTCTGCCGGAAAAAAAATTGTGGCCATTTTAGTGTATGCACCCTTTATTTATCAGAAAAATTATTTTTTTCATCAAATCCTCAGTGGGTTGGGTAGGTTCTCAATAAATGCATTCCAGATACACAGAACACATGTGCGGACAAGATCCACTGAAAAAATAATTCATAAAACACATTTCTACATGATTTCGCACCAATTTAATGCAAAAAACAGGCGTTTTTTTCACTTATTTTACACTATTTTCATCTTTACTTCACTGGCAATCAACTATTCCCTTAAGTTATGACATTAGGCAATATGCCATTCGTTTCACCAAACACTATACTTATTACACAGAAAAAATTATAAAAATCCAAACAAAATCAATGGATCTGTGATGATTTCACTACTAGTTGGCGATCAACAGGCTCAGAATTTCAATAGAATTTTAGACTATTCTCAAAATTCTTAAAAACAAGCTGAATATTTAGCATCATGGCTCACTTACAAACACACACACACACACACACATGATCTTAGTAATTTTTATGAGTTTGGAACAACCAACCAATAAATAATCAACCCATTTTTGAGCTTCAACCCATTTTTGAGACTTTGGCTCCCTGACTAATATCTATCTTTTATTCTGCATGTCATGTGCGTGGCAAAGTTTGTAACTGCACTGCCTATTGAGTCACTGTAATTCACAGTAATTTATAACATTATTATATTACCTGCAATATCTGCTGCAACTTCAGCACGCGCTTGTAGATTTGAGAGTTGGGAGCGTTGTAGCGTTTCGCGTTCTCAAACATCAGGTTGAGGTCTGTATATATCTGTTCCACACTTTCATACTCATTGTTCTTCATCTTACTCCTGAGGAGAGATAACATACATGTTGTCATCCTCCGTTCAAAACCGAGGAGCGTGCGGCGACGCTGCTGTCCGACTGCACCTTATCTGCTGGAGGGAGATCGGATGGCTGATCTGATGGAAGTAGTTGGGCAGGTCTTTCCTGGAGGGCAGCTGAAAGAAGGGCTCGGCTAGGAGCTGTCCCTGGCTGTTTCTGCCGCTCCGCACGGCCTCATACATCTGGAAGATGGGGTTGCACACGTCCATGCTGGAGTGCAGGCTCTCGCCCTCTGACTCGCCTTCATCGTAATGAACAGAGCCTTGGAACATGGAAAACATGGAAACAGTCATCCGATTAGTATATAGTAGAGATGCCGGGCCGAAACCTAAAATTCTGGATGCACTTAGCCGAAAACTGAAAAAAAAATCTTATTTTAAAATAGTTTTTTTAAATTCAATATTTGAATTCGAATAAAAAAAAGCCAATAAATTAAAATAATAACAAACATTGGACAGAAAATAGGCCTATATTAAAATATTAAATATCAATATGACTGCGTCCCAAATCGAATACCTCCCTACTATATAGTATGCGAAAAACAGTACGCGAGCAGAGTAGTATGTCCGAAATCTGAAGTGCGCATGTGACGGACACTTTACTATCTCAAAATGCCACGGGAGAGGAGTTGTTGTCGTTATATTTGAAAATGCGCGCGGAAACCGTAGAAAATAAATGAAAAACTTTAATAAATGTATTAAATTTACTCAATTTTAAGCAAATAAATGGCTTTTTCCTTGTTAAAAATCAACATCTGTCATTGTTCATAGGGGTTGTGTGTGTGTTTTATGAGGTCAAATTTATTAGGTAAATAAATTTTATTTGAGAAATTCGGCAAAAGGCGTGATCCGCGAGTAGCTGACCGACGCCTCCTCTCGATTGTCGGCTCGGACGACGTAAAAACGCAGATGAAAACAGAAAGCAGAACTAAAAACAGTGCGACGTTGGTGCCGTCGCTGGAATGGGCTCTTTAAATTTTCGCACTGTTGCGACAGCGTATGTCACGCGACAACAACATGGCGCATCCGGACTCATTCATACTACCCGTATTCATACTATATAGAACGTACTTTTTTAACGGTCGCGAAGTACGTTCTTATTTAAATATAGTACCTACTCACATAGTACGCGATTTGGGCCAGCGCTGTTCGTTGTTCAAGTGACAGTTCAAACGTCTTTTATCAGTAAAGTTCTGCACAGGCAAATTCAGGGGCACTTTTAATCCAATACATTACTGCAAAAGTTGATAATATTTCTTTGTTACTGAAATAAAGTCTCAAATATTGCTAGTGATCCAGCTCTGCCATGTCCTCTATCAGTGAACACAGATCGGATGCGTTATTCTCTACATTTCATTTCGACTTTTTTTCTCGCAACGCAAAGACTTTATTCTCGATATTTAATTATTTTTTTTTCTCACGATTATTTCGACTTTTTTTCTCCAAATTTAACAATTTTTTTTTCTCGCAACACAACGACTTTATTCTCGAAATTTAATGAGTTTTTTTCTCACGATTTTTTCGACTTTTTTCTCCAAATTTAACGACTTTTTTTTCTTGCAACACAACAACTTTATTCTCACAAATTTAATGAGTTTTTTCTCACGATTATTTCGACTTTTTTCTCCAAATTTAACAAGTTTTTTTCTCGCAACAAAATGGCTTTATTCTCGAAATTTAATGAGTTTTTTCTCACGATTATTTCGACTTTTTTCTCCAAATTTAACGACTTTTTTTTCTTGCAACACAACAACTTTATTCTCACAAATTTAATGAGTTTTTTCTCACGATTATTTCGACTTTTTTCTCCAAATTTAACAAGTTTGTTTCTCGCAACAAAACGACTTTATTCTCGAAATTTAATGAGTTTTTTCTCACGATTATTTCGACTTTTTTTCTCCAAATTTAATGATTTTTTTTTCTCGCAACACAACGACTTTATTCTCGATATTTAATGATTTTTTTCTCACGATTATTTCAACTTTTTTTCTCCAAATTTAACACGTTTTTTTCTCGCAACACAACGACTTTATTCTCGAAATTTAATGAGTTTTTTCTCGCGATTATTTAGACTTTTTTCTCAAAATTTAACGAGTTTTTTTTCTGGCAACACAACGACTTTATTCTCACAAATGTAATGAGTTTTTTTCTCACGATTATTTCGAATTTTTTCTCCAAATTTAACACGTTTTTTCTCGCAACAAAACGGCTTTATTCTCGAAATTTAATGAGTTTTTTCTCACGATTATTTCGACTTTTTTCTCCAAATTTAACGACTTTTTTTCTTGCAACACAACAACTTTATTCTCACAAATTTAATGATTTTTTTCTCACGATTATTTCAACTTTTTTCTCCAAATTTAACAAGTTTTTTTTCTCGCAACAAAACGGCTTTATTCTCGAAATTTAATGAGTTTTTTCTCACGATTATTTCGACTTTTTTCTCCAAATTTAACAAGTTTTTTTCTTGCAACACAACGACTTTATTCTCACAAATTTAATGAGTTTTTTTCTCACGATTATTTCGACTTTTTATTTAACGAGTTTTTTTCTTGCAACACAACGACTTTATTCTTGATATTTAACGAGTTTTTTTCTTGCAACACAACGACTTTATTCTCACAAATTTAATGAGTTTTTTTCTCATGATTATTTCGACTTTTTTCTCCAAATTTAACAAGTTTTTTTTCTCGCAACACAACGACTTTATTCTCGGTATTCAACGAGTTTATTCTCAAGATTGTATTTCGAGAATAAATATTTTTTTTCTCTAAATTTAACGAGTTCAATAATTTCACATTATAATGACTTTAATCTCGAGATGGTTTTATTTTTTTTTATAATTTCTTGGCCCTAATCCTCTTCCGTAATACAGTATATAAGACAAATTCAAACATAATCTATTGATGTTCAGCTCTGTCTATTACCAGTTAGCATGGCATCCTCTTCACTCTCTGAGCCGTACTGTAGAGCAGTGGTGATGGAGGAGAGTCTGTCTCCTTGTGCAAACCTTCTGTTCCTGTTCACAAACACCAGTGCAAAAACAAGTCAAACTTCACAGAATATCTATGTTTTAGTCTGTAGATAAAAATTATTCATTCATTTAAAACCCACACATTAGACTGGGTACATAACACTATGTTACAAACCTTAAAAAACATGGTAACACAATGATCCTTTATCATTTTTACTAAAATGGTGCAATTGTAAAATTACACAAATGCAAATATTATATTGCCAAAAGTTAAATAAATGCTGCATGTTGTTAAACTAAACTTTTATAATCTTAAAATGTAATCCATGATTTGTAATCCATAAAATGCAATCCATAATTTACCTCATCCTGATGCTGAAAACTAATATATTTGATACAATTCAATAATTCTATTCTATTTTACATACTTAGGCTAAAATAATTAACTAATAAAATGTGTTATGACAATATGTACATAACTTACCTGATCCTGATGCTACTTTTAACCGGTTCTGCATGTTCGAGCTCCAGTTTTCTCTGCGCAAAGACCTTTTTGATGGTGTTTGCATCCTAAAAATTCATGAATTTACATTATATTACATTATTACAAAATGCTAATATGATATAAATTGCATACAAATGTAAACAGAATTTCAGTGACACATTACTTTAAACACTTGTGATCCGGGTTCATTGTAGGTTTTGGCATTTTTGACTAACAAGTCAATGTCTTTAGCCATATGGTTTACACTTTTATAGTAGCACATCTAAGGGAAAAAAAACACAAACTTCAGTGTAAATCCATAATAAATGGTGATAAGCTGTAATAGAATATGACCATAAAAATAAGATACCTGTATTCGGTGTGCAACGATCTTCAGATCTATTGGTTCTTTAATAATAGCATAATAATCTGGATATTGCTGAAAAAGAATGTTTAAATATTTCATTAATAATATAATATGTTTGTGCATGTCCTCAAATGAAACTGAGACAACTACCACTTTAGAGGGAAGTCTCTGGAAAAGTTCGCTGATGAGACGCCCATGTTCTGTGTACGTCAGCACAGCATCCAGAAGCTGGCCTAGAACTTCCTTAAGGCTTGAGACAGACTGTACAAACAAAACAAAAACAAAGCAGAACACTAGTAAAACTCATCTGATGCCTGGTGACAGATACAACACGACAGTCAAGATCTGCGACCTCTGACCTCCTCCTCGGTGGCCCCTCCAGGGGTTTCCTGTGTGTCGTCATCGTCATCATCTTCATCGTAGTCTCCTCGCTGCACAAACTCGTTTTTGGTGCGAATGTACAGATCCCAGAGTTTGCAAGCCGCTCTGCACTCCGGAGTGTCTGGCTGCACAGGAAGAGTTAATTTTTTGCCATTTGTGAATTATTTAAATGATTTAGTAGATCAAGAAATGCATCGAAATTTCAATCTCATACCGTCAAACCTATTCATGGCACAATAATTAAAACGATATACAAATATATTTTATATATGAAGAGTTCAGATGCAAAAGCCTCTAAGTGCCATTTGAAATTTTCTTCTAAAATGATCATTTTTAACAAGCTTGTATATTTAAGTTCAGTAATTTCACTTAAATGACAATTAATAGGTAATCTTCATTGCCATTTAAGTGAAATTACTGAACTTAAATATACAAGCTTGATAAAAATGATCATTTTAGAAGAAAATTTCAAATGGCATTTAGAGGCTTTTGCATCTGAACTCTTCATATATTAAAACAGTTATTTTAAGTTGTAATAATATAACATAAGTAATAATATACGTTTTTAGGTAATACGTCACAATAAGGTTCATTTATTAAACATTAGTTAATGTAACATGAACTAACCATGGGCAATACATTTGATACAGTTTTCATTAATCTTTGTTAATGTAAGTTAATACAAATAAAGCTGTTCAGTGTTTGTTCATGTTACTGTAGTTCACAGTGCATTAACTAATGTTAACAAGATTTTAATAAAGTCTTTGTAAATGTTGAAATTAACATTTAATTAATGAATAAAGTTAATTAATGAACGTTATTGTAAAGTGTTACCAGTTTTTATTATATTGATGCAGCTTTGGTGAGCACGAGACTTAAAAAAACATTAAGAAATCGAAATGACTTAGACATTTGACTGCTAGCGTATGACATATACACACTTTGTAGTAGGTCTTGGCGTTGTTGAATAGGAGCTGAAAGTCGGCTGTGAGCTGCTCAACATCATCATACTCCTCCATCTTCAGCTTCTGCTGGATCTTCATCATGTCGATGGGCTGCGACACCACATCATAGTAATCCGGCTGGTTCCTGTAGGGACGCGTAGTATGTCTTATCCATTGTGATGTTAAAACTGTTTAAAAGGATAGTTCACCCGAAAATGAAAACTCTGTCAGTAATGACCCCGTAAGACTTTCGTTCATCTTCGGGACACAAATTTAAGATTAAGAGCTGGATCACTCCTCCATAGGCTTCTGGCCGGCCCAAAAGTTATGAAAGACATCGTTAAAATAGTCCGAGTGACGACAGTGGCTCAACCTTACAGGGATACTTCACCTCTGGAAAGATGAATGTGTATTTAAAATGGGTCATTTATGTTGATTTGTGAAATTATTTTTGAATTTGGAGCTTTCTGCACCGAGAAAAGGCAGAAAATGTATTTTTGGCTTATGTGGATGAAAGACAACAACTCCCAGAATGCACTTGCTTCGCTGCCCTAGGAGGCTAACAGAGCGCAGTCATTAAACAACAAGTCTAGGCTACTATTGATTCTCCGTGATGAAAATGTGTTTCGAGATCGCCCAAAATGTCCGGGATTGGGCTTTTGCGTTCGACAGTCGCCATTCGTCATGTTTACTGTGGCGAGCGGGACGAGTGAGGGCCGCGGGAGAACAAGAGCCTGCTAGTTTAGCTTCCAAAAAAAGATGGCCGACACTATGTGTTCATTCTGTGAGTGAGATCGCCCTCTATGGGCGGGTTGAGGACATGCGGGACAGACCCGAATACTGACTGTAGTCTTTAGCCTCTGGACAAAACATAAAATGACGATTATTGCTTCATCGGAGGATTTTTTCCAGACAAAAAAATACATAATTCTCTCGTCTCAGGGGGATATGAGGGTGGAAAGCACGGTAATTCGAAAAATACAACAGGTTTTCTACTAATACAAAGCTTAATGCTAAATCCTGAAGTATCCCTTTAAGTTTATCAAGCGACTAGAATACTTTTTGTGCACAAAAAACAAACAAAAATAACAAACTTTATTCAACTATTATTTTCCTATTATTTTTCAACTATTATTTCCTATTTCCTATTATTCAACTATTATTTTCCATTTGTCTGTGATGCAAATTTGCAATTCGCAATTCAGAAGCGAGAGAAGAGAGAGAGAGCGATCTCTCACACAACACGACAGCCCTTGCTTAAGGAGTGACAATGACGACAGAACTAAACATTCAACGTGGTTACACTTTAGATCTGGGATATTATTCTAATATATTTTGTATTTCGGCTTCCAAAGCTTATAAAAAGAAGATATTTGAGATAAACCCGTTAAAAAACGAGACGATCTGTCCAGCTTAACTTCCTTTACTTCACAGCACTGCGGAGCATAACCGTCAGAATCAGCACGATCGGCGATTGTTGCAAAATGCTGCCTTCTACTGTTGCAAGATGAAGAAAATGGCTATTAAAAACACAAAAGCCTGCGCAAGAGACGCTGTTCACAAGGCGGTGCGCGCTCCGAAACGGACTGCAACGAGACAAGAAAAGTAGCCTTCGTGCGTCCTTAACTATCAAAAATACATAAAAATGTCAAAATGACCAGCTCTGAGATTCACTTAAACACAGTTTATTCTTTTTTTTTTTTCTGTTATGGTTGTATTGTCTGATTTTCTTTTTTATTCTTAAATGTTTATACTATGTAAAAAATTGAAAAAACAAAACAAAAAAAAAACAGTTTATTCACTTAAACACAATTATGTCTTAAATGGACGTAAATAATAGGGAGAAAATGATGGTGCTTCAGTTACCGATTAGATTTGCTCTCGGTCTTAAAGGGGCAGCAGTCTAATAGCCTAAACCTGCAACCTAAATTCAGCCATTAATGCAAATCAAACAACAAAAGGCAGAGAAAATTACTCGCAGCTTTTAAATGAGTAACTTTAGATTTAATAAACATTATTCTATCTATGATAAACTATACAGTGCTATTTTATATTTGATTACTAGGTTTCTTTTCAGACAGAAACAATTACCTGAAAAGATGTGTTAGTAGACCTTCCTGAAATTAAAGCACTTTGTATATAATTTGTATCTTTGATTAATTGTATTCTTGTGTTTGTACTTGTTTTTTTCTTATGTGTCCTTTTTGTATAAACAAAACAAGCCTGCACACTGCTGCATAACAAAAAGATATTTTTCTTCGTTTTGCTTTTTCTATTTTACATTTCAAAATATAAAGTTTAATTATGTTCTTAATTCTTAAAAAAAGAATAAAAAAACACCAAAAAGACCCGATAAGAATACCGTTAAAGTACCGGATCGATAAGCGGTATCGGTAAGAGTAGTAATACCTATAAAACCTTAACGATACCCATCCCTAGATTTCACAGTGTAATTAATATCTTAATTTGTGTTCTGAAGATGAACGAAAGTCTTACGGGGTTGAACAACATGAGGGAGAGTCATTACTGACAGAGTTTTCATTTTGGGGTGAACTGTCCCTTTAAGTTTTCGATATCCATGACTGGCTGGATCTCTCGTGTGTGACTGACCTTCTCTTTGGTGCTCTGATGAAGAGTTCACACAGCATCCTGCCCTGATCATCCTTATAGTCTCTGATAGTGTTGTACAGCTCATGACACACAGCGATCTGTGAGGAAAACAGATGTCACACTACACTAATCCTAAAGCAATAATATTCACATAAAATGATCATCAATAAGCACTGCAGTTACTGATGTCAGAGGTATTAAAGACGTGAAGCTCACAGGGTCGACAGTGGGGATGTTTGTGGTTCTTCTCCTCTTCCGGCTGGTTGATGGTATAGATGTTGTCTGGCTGTCCTCGAAATCTCCTCCGCTCACACTGCTGGATGGAGACGTGGCTCTCCGTCGCTTAGAGCCCATTGTAAACGCTAGAAAAAAGTCAAATAGTTAGCTTATAGCTTATTAAAGATCAGACTGAATGCTCATTAAATATATATATATATATATATATATATATATATATATGTGTTGAAGTAAAGTAGTTGCACTACTAATTTAAAGGGTTAGTTCACCCAAAAATGAAAATTCTGTCAGTATTTACTCACCCTCATGTTGTTCCAACCCCGTAAGACCTTCGTTCATCTTCGGAAAACGAATTAAGATATTTAAGATATTAAAATCGCTCCTGCATACAGTCCATAGGCTTCTTGAGGGACTGGCTCTTGCCGTCCCCGAAAAGTCATAAAAGACATCGTTAAAATAGTCCAAGTGACTACAGGGGCTCAATCTTAAGTTTATCAAACGACGAGAACACTTTTGTGCGCAAAAAAACAACAAAAATAATGACTTTATTTCAACTATTCACTTCCTTCTCCATAAGCCTATAGTCCGTTAACGTAGTGTGATTGCGTAGAGCTACGTCACACGTAGGCTCACTATTGGTCGACGCTGGTCATGTGTGTGTGATGCGTGTGACGTACAATAACAGAAGCTTACGCGCTATTAAACTAGTTAGCTGACTCGCGCAGAGGGAGAAATAAACGAATAGTTGAAATAAAGTCGTTATTTTTGTTGTTTTTTTGCGCACAAAAGTGTTCTCGTCGTTTGATAAACTTAAGATTGAGCCCCTGTAGTCACTTGGACTATTTTAACGATGTCTTTTATGACTTTTCGGGGACGGCAAGAGCCAGTCCCTCAAGAAGCCTATGGACTGTATGCAGGAGCGATTTTAATATCTTAAATATCTTAATTCGTTTTCCGAAGATGAACGAAGGTCTTACGGGGTTGGAACAACATGAGGGTGAGTAAATACTGACAGAATTTTCATTTTTGGGTGAACTAACCCTTTAAATTAGTAGTGCAACTACTTTACTTCAACACATATATATATATATATATATATATATATATATATATTTAATGAGCATTCAGTCTGATCTTTAATAAGCTATAAGCTAACTATTTGACTTTTTTCTAGCGTTTACAATGGGCTCTAAGCGACGGAGAGCCACGTCTCCATCCAGCAGTGTGAGCGGAGGAGATTTCGAGGACAGCCAGACAACATCTATACCATCAACCAGCCGGAAGAGGAGAAGAACCACAAACATCCCCACTGTCGACCCTGTGAGCTTCACGTCTTTAATACCTCTGACATCAGTAACTGCAGTGCTTATTGATGATCATTTTATGTGAATATTATTGCTTTAGGATTAGTGTAGTGTGACATCTGTTTTCCTCACAGATCGCTGTGTGTCATGAGCTGTACAACACTATCAGAGACTATAAGGATGATCAGGGCAGGATGCTGTGTGAACTCTTCATCAGAGCACCAAAGAGAAGGTCAGTCACACACGAGAGATCCAGCCAGTCATGGATATCGAAAACTTAAAGGGACAGTTCACCCCAAAATGAAAACTCTGTCAGTAATGACTCTCCCTCATGTTGTTCAACCCCGTAAGACTTTCGTTCATCTTCAGAACACAAATTAAGATATTAATTACACTGTGAAATCTAGGGATGGGTATCGTTAAGGTTTTATAGGTATTACTACTCTTACCGATACCGCTTATCGATCCGGTACTTTAACGGTATTCTTATCGGGTCTTTTTGGTGTTTTTTTATTCTTTTTTTAAGAATTAAGAACATAATTAAACTTTATATTTTGAAATGTAAAATAGAAAAAGCAAAACGAAGAAAAATATCTTTTTGTTATGCAGCAGTGTGCAGGCTTGTTTTGTTTATACAAAAAGGACACATAAGAAAAAAACAAGTACAAACACAAGAATACAATTAATCAAAGATACAAATTATATACAAAGTGCTTTAATTTCAGGAAGGTCTACTAACACATCTTTTCAGGTAATTGTTTCTGTCTGAAAAGAAACCTAGTAATCAAATATAAAATAGCACTGTATAGTTTATCATAGATAGAATAATGTTTATTAAATCTAAAGTTACTCATTTAAAAGCTGCGAGTAATTTTCTCTGCCTTTTGTTGTTTGATTTGCATTAATGGCTGAATTTAGGTTGCAGGTTTAGGCTATTAGACTGCTGCCCCTTTAAGACCGAGAGCAAATCTAATCGGTAACTGAAGCACCATCATTTTCTCCCTATTATTTACGTCCATTTAAGACATAATTGTGTTTAAGTGAATAAACTGTTTTTTTTTTGTTTTGTTTTTTCAATTTTTTACATAGTATAAACATTTAAGAATAAAAAAGAAAATCAGACAATACAACCATAACAGAAAAAAAAAAAAGAATAAACTGTGTTTAAGTGAATCTCAGAGCTGGTCATTTTGACATTTTTATGTATTTTTGATAGTTAAGGACGCACGAAGGCTACTTTTCTTGTCTCGTTGCAGTCCGTTTCGGAGCGCGCACCGCCTTGTGAACAGCGTCTCTTGCGCAGGCTTTTGTGTTTTTAATAGCCATTTTCTTCATCTTGCAACAGTAGAAGGCAGCATTTTGCAACAATCGCCGATCGTGCTGATTCTGACGGTTATGCTCCGCAGTGCTGTGAAGTAAAGGAAGTTAAGCTGGACAGATCGTCTCGTTTTTTAACGGGTTTATCTCAAATATCTTCTTTTTATAAGCTTTGGAAGCCGAAATACAAAATATATTAGAATAATATCCCAGATCTAAAGTGTAACCACGTTGAATGTTTAGTTCTGTCGTCATTGTCACTCCTTAAGCAAGGGCTGTCGTGTTGTGTGAGAGATCGCTCTCTCTCTCTTCTCTCGCTTCTGAATTGCGAATTGCAAATTTGCATCACAGACAAATGGAAAATAATAGTTGAATAATAGGAAATAGGAAATAATAGTTGAAAAATAATAGGAAAATAATAGTTGAATAAAGTTTGTTATTTTTGTTTGTTTTTTGTGCACAAAAAGTATTCTAGTCGCTTGATAAACTTAAAGGGATACTTCAGGATTTAGCATTAAGCTTTGTATTAGTAGAAAACCTGTTGTATTTTTCGAATTACCGTGCTTTCCACCCTCATATCCCCCTGAGACGAGAGAATTATGTATTTTTTTGTCTGGAAAAAATCCTCCGATGAAGCAATAATCGTCATTTTATGTTTTGTCCAGAGGCTAAAGACTACAGTCAGTATTCGGGTCTGTCCCGCATGTCCTCAACCCGCCCATAGAGGGCGATCTCACTCACAGAATGAACACATAGTGTCGGCCATCTTTTTTTGGAAGCTAAACTAGCAGGCTCTTGTTCTCCCGCGGCCCTCACTCGTCCCGCTCGCCACAGTAAACATGACGAATGGCGACTGTCGAACGCAAAAGCCCAATCCCGGACATTTTGGGCGATCTCGAAACACATTTTCATCACGGAGAATCAATAGTAGCCTAGACTTGTTGTTTAATGACTGCGCTCTGTTAGCCTCCTAGGGCAGCGAAGCAAGTGCATTCTGGGAGTTGTTGTCTTTCATCCACATAAGCCAAAAATACATTTTCTGCCTTTTCTCGGTGCAGAAAGCTCCAAATTCAAAAATAATTTCACAAATCAACATAAATGACCCATTTTAAATACACATTCATCTTTCCAGAGGTGAAGTATCCCTGTAAGGTTGAGCCACTGTCGTCACTCGGACTATTTTAACGATGTCTTTCATAACTTTTGGGCCGGCCAGAAGCCTATGGAGGAGTGATCCAGCTCTTAATCTTAAATTTGTGTCCCGAAGATGAACGAAAGTCTTACGGGGTCATTACTGACAGAGTTTTCATTTTCGGGTGAACTATCCTTTTAAACAGTTTTAACATCACAATGGATAAGACATACTACGCGTCCCTACAGGAACCAGCCGGATTACTATGATGTGGTGTCGCAGCCCATCGACATGATGAAGATCCAGCAGAAGCTGAAGATGGAGGAGTATGATGATGTTGAGCAGCTCACAGCCGACTTTCAGCTCCTATTCAACAACGCCAAGACCTACTACAAAGTGTGTATATGTCATACGCTAGCAGTCAAATGTCTAAGTCATTTCGATTTCTTAATGTTTTTTTAAGTCTCGTGCTCACCAAAGCTGCATCAATATAATAAAAACTGGTAACACTTTACAATAACGTTCATTAATTAACTTTATTCATTAATTAAATGTTAATTTCAACATTTACAAAGACTTTATTAAAATCTTGTTAACATTAGTTAATGCACTGTGAACTACAGTAACATGAACAAACACTGAACAGCTTTATTTGTATTAACTTACATTAACAAAGATTAATGAAAACTGTATCAAATGTATTGCCCATGGTTAGTTCATGTTACATTAACTAATGTTTAATAAATGAACCTTATTGTGACGTATTACCTAAAAACGTATATTATTACTTATGTTATATTATTACAACTTAAAATAACTGTTTTAATATATGAAGAGTTCAGATGCAAAAGCCTCTAAATGCCATTTGAAATTTTCTTCTAGAATGATCATTTTTATCAAGCTTGTATATTTAAGTTCAGTGATTTCACTTAAATGGCAATGATAATTACCTATTAATTGTTATTTAAGTGAAATTACTGAAGTTAAATATACAAGCTTGATAAAAATCATCATTAAAGAAGAAAATTTCAAATGGCATTTAGAGGCTTTTGCATCTGAACTCTTCATATTTAAATATTTAATATAGTGTCACATGATCCTTCAGAAATTATTCTAATAGGCTGATTTGCTGAATCCTAATTATTATTCATGTATTATTATCATAATATCAGTGTAAAACAGTGGTGCTGATTCATATTTTTGTGCAAACCGTGATATATTTTTATGATTGTTTGTCGAATAGAAAGTTCACAAAAACAGCATTTATTTGAAATAGAAAGCTTTTGTAACATTATGAATATCGTTACTGTCACTCTTGATCAATTTAACGCGTCATTGCTGAATAAAAATATGAATTTCTTAAAAAAGAAAACTCACAGCCCAAACTTGCAAACTTGTTCCTCAAAAATATTGATAATGAGAAGCATTGATAACTATAATAATGTTTCTAGATCATCAGATCGTCATATTAGAGGGATTTCTGAAGGATCATGTGACACTGAAGACTGGAGTAATCATGCTGAAAATTCAGTTCCCTATCGTAGTCACTTCGAGTTACGTCAGAAGTGACGGAGATTGGGGGTTTCGCATAGAAAGCCAATCCTCTTCGAGTATTAAAACACGAGCCAATGGCATGCAATGCCTTGGGGCTGCGGAAATTTGCATAGCGTACTCCGCCCTACTCCGTGAGTATAAAAGGAGGAAGTGAACGCAACCGCAGTATGTCTTCGCTGAGGAGCCAAGACTGAACTCGGCCTCTACCCAGCGATACAGCAGAAGTGGCAGGGAGACGTAACGTCTCCGTTCCCTACTCAGGGAACGAGGGTTACATACGTAACCGAGACGTTCCCTATCGTAGTCACTTCGAGTTACGTCAGAAGTGACGGAGATTGGGGGTCTGTGCCATCACGCCATCTTCACGCTGTCTTCCAGTGCCCTGCGAAAGACTGAACCCCCGAGCCTTACCTCTTTTTTTTTTTTTTTTTTTTGGGGATCCGACTTTGACACAGGATTACCAAGGTACACTGGGAACATATCCCGAAGGGGACATGCTACCAGCTGCCTACCGAAGGGAGGACTTAAGAATACACATATGGCCACATAGGAACGCATATGGAACACTGGAGTACCAACCGCAGGTGGCTACTGATTTAAACTCCAGGGGTGGCAGATGGCTTGCCAAGGGAAGACACATGCTCAGAGAGGCTTACAGTGGATAATACACATGAGACGGTTACCCTGGGGAACCGTGCGCATGGAGGCACCTAGCTAGCATCCAGAGCAACGCAGTGGTGCCCGCATCGTCGGTGCTGGAGGACTCAAGACTTCAATGGAAGAACTGAGGAAATATCGCACTTATCCAGTCCGGGGAGTGGAGTGGCGAGCAAGCGAAGACACCTGAGCGGATCCAGAACTGGCCGAAACGAGTACGTGAGAGGATACCGGCTCAATTCGCAGATTATAGAATCTGGCGAAGGTGTTGGGTGTCGCCCAGCCTGCAGCTCTGCAGATGTCTGTTAGCGAGGCGCCGTGCGCTAAAGCCCAAGAGGAGGCTACACTCCGAGTGGAATGGGCCGTCACACCAAGGGGGCACGGAAGGCCTTGCTGCTGGTAAGACAAAGCAATGGCATCCACTATCCAGTGGGACAGCCGTTGCTTTGAGAGAGCCCTTCCCTTCTGGCTCCCCCCATGACAGACAAAGAGCTGGTCTGAGGTCCTGAAACACTGCGTTCTGTCGACATAGGTGCGGAGAGCACGTACCGGACAGAGCAGTGCCAAGGCTGGGTCTGCCTCCTCCAGGGGCAGCGCTTGCAGGTTCACCACCAGGTCCCGGAGGGGAGTGGTAGGAACCTTGGGCATATATCCAGGCCGGGGTCTCAGGAATACGTGAGAGTAAGCCGGCCCGAACTCCAGGCACACTTCGTCAACAGAGAGTGCGTGCAGGTCCTTACTCTCCTGATGGATACCAATGCAATCAGGAGTGCTGTCACATAGGACAGGGCAAAAACTCTACCGACTGCAAAGGCTCCAGGGGAGGCCTCTGCAGAGCACCCAGGTCTACTGAGAGGTCCCCAGAGGGCAGGAGGGGAGGGAGGCGGATTTAGCCCCCTCACTCCCCTCAGGAACCTGATGACCAGGTCATGCTTCCCATAGACTTACCTTTCACTGCATCATGAGACGCGGCAATGGCCGCGACATAATCCAAAGGGTGGAGGGCGACAGCCTGCGCTACAACCCCTCTTGCAGGAAGGAAGCATGACTCCGATCGAACATCTCCGGGGGTCTTCTCAGCGAGAAGAACACCAATTGACGAAGAGGTTTCACTTCAACGCATAAAGGTGTCACGTGGACGACGCTCTTGCGGAAGTGATGGTTGCCGCCACCGCAGGTGGCAGCGAACTCAAACCTGCCTCGTCCCGTCCTGGAGCCACACGTGCAGCCTCCAAGATCGGGACGAGGGTGCCACAGAGTGCCCCGTCTCTGAGAGAGTAGGTCCGGTCTCAGAGGAATAGGCCAAGGAGGTGCTGTCGCGAGGAGCAAGAGTTCGGAGAACCACGTCTTGGTGGGCCAGTAGGGGGCTACCAGCAAGACCTGCTCCTCGTCCTCCTTGATCTTGCACAACACCCGTGCAAGGAGGCTCACTGGGGAACGCACACTTGCGTGGGCCCCGTGGCCAGCTGTGCGCCAGCGCATCCGAGCCGAGAGAGCCGCGGGTCAGAGAATAACTGGGCGCAGTGGGACGAGTCCCGAGAGGCGAACAGGTCTAACTGTGCCTCCCCGAACTGGTCCCAAATCAGCTGGACCGACTGGGGATGGAGTCGCCATTCGCCGGAGATGGGACGGGCCCGGGACAGCTCGCGGCTGCCCGATTCCGGTCTCCAGGAATGTAACTGCACGAAGGGACCTCAGGTGCTTCTGACTCCATATCAAGAGGTGGCGGGCGAGCTGCGACAACCGGCGCGAGCGTAGACCCCCCCTGGTGGTTGATGTACGCTACTGCCGTAGTGTTGTCTGAGCGGACAAGCACATGCTGGCCCTAGAGCACGCTCGGAAGCGGTGCCGGGCGAGCCGTACTGCCAACAGCTCGAGGCAATTGATGTGCATGAGGCGCTGGGCTCCTGTCCAGGAACCGGCGGCTGCATGCCCATTGCACATGGCACCCCAACCCGTGGTAGACGCATCCGTGGAGACAACGAGATGCCTGGAAACTCGCTGAATAGGGACCCTGTCCGTAAAAAGCTGAGGTTCGACCACGGGAAGAAGGATCGGCGGCACGTCGGAGTCACTGGAACTCGGAGCGAGCCGCGATGCCATGCCCACCTCGGGACTCGATCGCGAAGCCACAGCTGAAGCGGTCTCATATGAAGCAAACTGAGCGGCGTTGCCGCGGCCGCGGATGCCATATGCCCCAGGAGCCTCTGAAAAGTTTCAGTGGAACCGCACTCTTGCCCTCGAACTGTCGAAGACAAGCCAGCAGTGAGTGCGCGCGCTCGTTCGTGAGCTGCGCGGACATGGCGACCGAGTCTATCTCCATGCCGAGAAAAGAGATCCTCTGCACGGGGCAAAGTTTGCTCTTTTCCCGGTTGACCCGAAGGCCCAGACGGGCTAGGTGCCGTAGCACCAGGTCTCTGTGTTCGCAAACCTGAGCTCGAGAGTGTGCTAGTAACAGCCAGTCGTCGAGATAGTTCAGGATGCGAACCCCGTGTTCGCGAAGGGGAACAAGGGCTGCCTCGACGATCTTCGTGAAGACGCGAGGGGACAGAGCTAACCCGAATGGGAGAACGGCGTACTGGTATGCCTGGCCCTCGAAGGCAAACCGAAGAAACGGTCTGTGTCGAGGGAGAATGGAGACATGGAAGTACGCGTCCTTCAGGTCGATCGCTGCAAACCAATCCTGATACCGAACACATTCGAAAATGCGTTTGGCCGTGAGCATTTTGAACGGTAGTCGATGGAGAGAACGGTTCAAAATGCGCAGGTCCAGGATCGGTCGTAACCCACCGGTCTTTCTTGGGGACAATGAAGTAGGGGCTGTAAAGCCCGGACCTCACCTCGGCTGGAGGGACCGTCTCGATTGCACCCTTCGCCAGCAGGGTCGCAATCTCCGCTCTCAAGACTGGGGCATTGCCACCAACCATCGTGGAGCGAACTCCCCTGAAGCGGGGAAGAGACCGTGCGAACTGAATCGCGTAGCCGAATCCGATCGTTCTGATGACCCAGCGGGAACCCCGGGAAGCGCTAGCCAGGCTTCCAGGAAGTGAGCCAACGGGGTCATGCGAACCACAGACGTCCCCCCGGAGGGGCAGCGAGGCGGGTCGACCGGCATGCGTGCAGGAGTTACCCCGTCCGGATGCACCGTCGAAACCCGCTCCCCGACAGAAGAGACCAGGGAAGGCAGAGCGTTCCACGGGGGTCTGTTCTGCCGGGGGTCTGGCGACAGAGGGGGAAGGGATTGGCGTAGCCCGGGGACGACACACGCACCCTTCCGCGCCCTCCGAGACAGAGAGGAATGAACGGGGCGACGCACTGGACGTCGTGCGCGCTCATTCCAGTCTGTGTGCTCAATGACAGTGTCAGCTTTTCCTCAACCAGCTCAGGGAGCTAGCTAGAACAAAAGATTCTCCACCGGCCCTCCACCGGGGAAGGAGGGGCCCTGCCACCGCCTCCTGAGAAAAACCATGACACTATCACTGAGCGGCCCGCCTCAGGAACAACGCTTCGCCTGGCAACTAGCGGGGCACGCGGCCTGAGGGGGGGCTCTTTTCTTGGGACGCTTACCTGTGGCCTCCTCCGCGACGCGAACCGGCTGAAGGCTGCTGCTGGGGCCGCGTGGGAGGGAAGGGAGCCGCAGGGGGGCGTCCTCGGCGGCGAGCTGGCGGAGGCGTCCGAGCCGACGGCTGGTTGGAGGCAGCAGCTGGCCGTCGGGGCAGAGAAACCGCCTTCGTCTGCTCCTAGGCGGTCGAGAAGTGCTGGGCAAAGTCCTGGACCGCACCGCCGAACATTATGATGCTCCTGGACCACAGCGGTGGGCATCACCTGACCAAGGGAGCGAGCGACCGCCTCCGTGACCCGTTTAAGGACAAGGTAGGCGACAGGCTCGCAGCTCGCTTGGTCCGTCACCTCCTCGTGCACATTCCTGAGCAGCTAGCTTTGTAGGTGCTCATCATATGCAGGGCGGAGGCTGCCTGTCCCGCCGCTCTACAGAATCGCGCCGCCATAGACGACGAGAACCCATAGGCTTTGGAGGGGCATCTGAGAGCAACCGCCGGTTGACCGGGGGAGCCCCAGCGTACCCACAGACAGCCGCATCGCCGAGGGGAGGAAGGGCGGGGAACTAAGCACGCTTTTTTTTTTTTTTTTTTATTTATTTATTTTTTAGTGCGTGTCAGTTCCGCATGCAACTCGGGGAAAAAAGGAAATTGGGGTTGGCCGTGGCCGTAAGGCGGCAGCGTTACCCAAAAACCAATTATTCAGCCGCGAGAGATCGGGGAGGGGCGGAGTTCCACCCCCACCCGATGCTCACGGACGCCCGAGATAGCACGGCCATCATCGCGGGATCAGACACGGCGGCGCTGACGCTCCCGAGGGAGGCAACGCGGCCGCATCCTCACTTCCCGAGGAGTCAAGCCCGCCTAGTGATGCTGTGATCGACATCGCATCATCATCTGGAGCGCTGCCCGAAGCAGCCGGTGCCACCGAAGAAGCAACCGACTGAATCGAACTAACGCTCGCTGGCTCTCGCACTGAGGCGGGAGGTGTGGCCCGAGGAATCGTCGGGGCTTATCCCACACCATCACCGTAAATCACCAGGTCCCCGGGTCGACGGGCCCCCTATGGAGGAAACCGATCGAGCGGGGGGGACCGGGACTCTCACTCAAGTGAGATCATTGAGTCTCGACCTCAGTGTAGAGATGGTCATGTTCCCACAGACGGAAAATGAGTCATCCACGAACGCTGCTGCTGCATGCTGAAATGCCCAGGCATACAAAGCAGCGATCGTGACCATCAGATGACGACAGAAATCAATCACACCCAGAAGAGCACGGGCGAACCGTCTTTAAAAAGACGTGCGCGTGCAGCTCTTTCAATGAGAGGAGGAAATTCACTCTTTCAGCGCTGAAGCGACCAGGGAGAAGCGCAAAGTCTGGCAGACCACTGCTCAGATCGCAGGCGATGCAGAATCTCGCTGGGTACCGCCGTCACACCAACACTGAAGAGGACGCTCGTCTCGAAGAGTCTTGAACAGTGCTTTCAGGAGTGAAGAGGTTCTCTTGGCTCCGAAGCGAAAACATACTGCGGTTGCGTTCACTTCCTCCTTTTATACTCACGGAGTAGGGCGGAGTACGCTATGCAAATTTCCGCAGCCCCAAGGCATTGCATGCCATTGGCTCGTGTTTTAATACTCGAAGAGGATTGGCTTTCTATGCGAAACCCCCAATCTCCGTCACTTCTGACGTAACTCGAAGTGACTACGATAGGGAACTGAATTTTCAGCATGATTACTCCAGTCTTCAGTGTCACATGATCCTTCAGAAATCCCTCTAATATGACGATCTGATGATCTAGAAACATTATTATAGTTATCAATGCTTCTCATTATCAATATTTTTGAGGAACAAGTTTGCAAGTTTGGGCTGTGAGTTTTCTTTTTTAAGAAATTCATATTTTTATTCAGCAATGACGCGTTAAATTGATCAAGAGTGACAGTAACGATATTCATAATGTTACAAAAGCTTTCTATTTCAAATAAATGCTGTTTTTGTGAACTTTCTATTCGACAAACAATCATAAAAATATATCACGGTTTGCACAAAAATATGAATCAGCACCACTGTTTTACACTGATATTATGATAATAATACATGAATAATAATTAGGATTCAGCAAATCAGCCTATTAGAATAATTTCTGAAGGATCATGTGACACTATATTAAATATTTAAATATGAAGAGTTCAGATGCAAAAGCCTCTAAATGCCATTTGAAATTTTCTTCTTTAATGATGATTTTTATCAAGCTTGTATATTTAACTTCAGTAATTTCACTTAAATAACAATTAATAGGTAATTATCATTGCCATTTAAGTGAAATCACTGAACTTAAATATACAAGCTTGATAAAAATGATCATTCTAGAAGAAAATTTCAAATGGCATTTAGAGGCTTTTGCATCTGAACTCTTCATATATTAAAACAGTTATTTTAAGTTGTAATAATATAACATAAGTAATAATATACGTTTTTAGGTAATACGTCACAATAAGGTTCATTTATTAAACATTAGTTAATGTAACATGAACTAACCATGGGCAATACATTTGATACAGTTTTCATTAATCTTTGTTAATGTAAGTTAATACAAATAAAGCTGTTCAGTGTTTGTTCATGTTACTGTAGTTCACAGTGCATTAACTAATGTTAACAAGATTTTAATAAAGTCTTTGTAAATGTTGAAATTAACATTTAATTAATGAATAAAGTTAATTAATGAACGTTATTGTAAAGTGTTACCAGTTTTTATTATATTGATGCAGCTTTGGTGAGCACGAGACTTAAAAAAACATTAAGAAATCGAAATGACTTAGACATTTGACTGCTAGCGTATGACATATACACACTTTGTAGTAGGTCTTGGCGTTGTTGAATAGGAGCTGAAAGTCGGCTGTGAGCTGCTCAACATCATCATACTCCTCCATCTTCAGCTTCTGCTGGATCTTCATCATGTCGATGGGCTGCGACACCACATCATAGTAATCCGGCTGGTTCCTGTAGGGACGCGTAGTATGTCTTATCCATTGTGATGTTAAAACTGTTTAAAAGGATAGTTCACCCGAAAATGAAAACTCTGTCAGTAATGACCCCGTAAGACTTTCGTTCATCTTCGGGACACAAATTTAAGATTAAGAGCTGGATCACTCCTCCATAGGCTTCTGGCCGGCCCAAAAGTTATGAAAGACATCGTTAAAATAGTCCGAGTGACGACAGTGGCTCAACCTTACAGGGATACTTCACCTCTGGAAAGATGAATGTGTATTTAAAATGGGTCATTTATGTTGATTTGTGAAATTATTTTTGAATTTGGAGCTTTCTGCACCGAGAAAAGGCAGAAAATGTATTTTTGGCTTATGTGGATGAAAGACAACAACTCCCAGAATGCACTTGCTTCGCTGCCCTAGGAGGCTAACAGAGCGCAGTCATTAAACAACAAGTCTAGGCTACTATTGATTCTCCGTGATGAAAATGTGTTTCGAGATCGCCCAAAATGTCCGGGATTGGGCTTTTGCGTTCGACAGTCGCCATTCGTCATGTTTACTGTGGCGAGCGGGACGAGTGAGGGCCGCGGGAGAACAAGAGCCTGCTAGTTTAGCTTCCAAAAAAAGATGGCCGACACTATGTGTTCATTCTGTGAGTGAGATCGCCCTCTATGGGCGGGTTGAGGACATGCGGGACAGACCCGAATACTGACTGTAGTCTTTAGCCTCTGGACAAAACATAAAATGACGATTATTGCTTCATCGGAGGATTTTTTCCAGACAAAAAAATACATAATTCTCTCGTCTCAGGGGGATATGAGGGTGGAAAGCACGGTAATTCGAAAAATACAACAGGTTTTCTACTAATACAAAGCTTAATGCTAAATCCTGAAGTATCCCTTTAAGTTTATCAAGCGACTAGAATACTTTTTGTGCACAAAAAACAAACAAAAATAACAAACTTTATTCAACTATTATTTTCCTATTATTTTTCAACTATTATTTCCTATTTCCTATTATTCAACTATTATTTTCCATTTGTCTGTGATGCAAATTTGCAATTCGCAATTCAGAAGCGAGAGAAGAGAGAGAGAGCGATCTCTCACACAACACGACAGCCCTTGCTTAAGGAGTGACAATGACGACAGAACTAAACATTCAACGTGGTTACACTTTAGATCTGGGATATTATTCTAATATATTTTGTATTTCGGCTTCCAAAGCTTATAAAAAGAAGATATTTGAGATAAACCCGTTAAAAAACGAGACGATCTGTCCAGCTTAACTTCCTTTACTTCACAGCACTGCGGAGCATAACCGTCAGAATCAGCACGATCGGCGATTGTTGCAAAATGCTGCCTTCTACTGTTGCAAGATGAAGAAAATGGCTATTAAAAACACAAAAGCCTGCGCAAGAGACGCTGTTCACAAGGCGGTGCGCGCTCCGAAACGGACTGCAACGAGACAAGAAAAGTAGCCTTCGTGCGTCCTTAACTATCAAAAATACATAAAAATGTCAAAATGACCAGCTCTGAGATTCACTTAAACACAGTTTATTCTTTTTTTTTTTTCTGTTATGGTTGTATTGTCTGATTTTCTTTTTTATTCTTAAATGTTTATACTATGTAAAAAATTGAAAAAACAAAACAAAAAAAAAACAGTTTATTCACTTAAACACAATTATGTCTTAAATGGACGTAAATAATAGGGAGAAAATGATGGTGCTTCAGTTACCGATTAGATTTGCTCTCGGTCTTAAAGGGGCAGCAGTCTAATAGCCTAAACCTGCAACCTAAATTCAGCCATTAATGCAAATCAAACAACAAAAGGCAGAGAAAATTACTCGCAGCTTTTAAATGAGTAACTTTAGATTTAATAAACATTATTCTATCTATGATAAACTATACAGTGCTATTTTATATTTGATTACTAGGTTTCTTTTCAGACAGAAACAATTACCTGAAAAGATGTGTTAGTAGACCTTCCTGAAATTAAAGCACTTTGTATATAATTTGTATCTTTGATTAATTGTATTCTTGTGTTTGTACTTGTTTTTTTCTTATGTGTCCTTTTTGTATAAACAAAACAAGCCTGCACACTGCTGCATAACAAAAAGATATTTTTCTTCGTTTTGCTTTTTCTATTTTACATTTCAAAATATAAAGTTTAATTATGTTCTTAATTCTTAAAAAAAGAATAAAAAAACACCAAAAAGACCCGATAAGAATACCGTTAAAGTACCGGATCGATAAGCGGTATCGGTAAGAGTAGTAATACCTATAAAACCTTAACGATACCCATCCCTAGATTTCACAGTGTAATTAATATCTTAATTTGTGTTCTGAAGATGAACGAAAGTCTTACGGGGTTGAACAACATGAGGGAGAGTCATTACTGACAGAGTTTTCATTTTGGGGTGAACTGTCCCTTTAAGTTTTCGATATCCATGACTGGCTGGATCTCTCGTGTGTGACTGACCTTCTCTTTGGTGCTCTGATGAAGAGTTCACACAGCATCCTGCCCTGATCATCCTTATAGTCTCTGATAGTGTTGTACAGCTCATGACACACAGCGATCTGTGAGGAAAACAGATGTCACACTACACTAATCCTAAAGCAATAATATTCACATAAAATGATCATCAATAAGCACTGCAGTTACTGATGTCAGAGGTATTAAAGACGTGAAGCTCACAGGGTCGACAGTGGGGATGTTTGTGGTTCTTCTCCTCTTCCGGCTGGTTGATGGTATAGATGTTGTCTGGCTGTCCTCGAAATCTCCTCCGCTCACACTGCTGGATGGAGACGTGGCTCTCCGTCGCTTAGAGCCCATTGTAAACGCTAGAAAAAAGTCAAATAGTTAGCTTATAGCTTATTAAAGATCAGACTGAATGCTCATTAAATATATATATATATATATATATATATATATATATATGTGTTGAAGTAAAGTAGTTGCACTACTAATTTAAAGGGTTAGTTCACCCAAAAATGAAAATTCTGTCAGTATTTACTCACCCTCATGTTGTTCCAACCCCGTAAGACCTTCGTTCATCTTCGGAAAACGAATTAAGATATTTAAGATATTAAAATCGCTCCTGCATACAGTCCATAGGCTTCTTGAGGGACTGGCTCTTGCCGTCCCCGAAAAGTCATAAAAGACATCGTTAAAATAGTCCAAGTGACTACAGGGGCTCAATCTTAAGTTTATCAAACGACGAGAACACTTTTGTGCGCAAAAAAACAACAAAAATAACGACTTTATTTCAACTATTCGTTTATTTCTCCCTCTGCGCGAGTCAGCTAACTAGTTTAATAGCGCGTAAGCTTCTGTTATTGTACGTCACACGCATCACACACACATGACCAGCGTCGACCAATAGTGAGCCTACGTGTGACGTAGCTCTACGCAATCACACTACGTTAACGGACTATAGGCTTATGGAGAAGGAAGTGAATAGTTGAAATAAAGTCATTATTTTTGTTGTTTTTTTGCGCACAAAAGTGTTCTCGTCGTTTGATAAACTTAAGATTGAGCCCCTGTAGTCACTTGGACTATTTTAACGATGTCTTTAATGACTTTTCGGGGACAGCAAGAGTCATTCCCTCAAGAAGCCTATGGACTGTATGCAGGAGCGATTTTAATATCCTAAATATCTTAATTTGTGTTCCGAAGATGAACGAAGGTCTTACGGGGTTGGAACAACATGAGGGTGAGTAAATACTGACAGAATTTTCATTTTTGGGTGAACTAACCCTTTAATACTAACAGAATTATGTGAGAATTATGAAGAGCAAACCACTGATTGCACCAAAATGTTATAGTCACACAGTTGCTAATAATAAAATATATATCAACACTGTTATCAAAATAAAAAAGATTCTGAAAACTCTGTTAGAATGAGATCAGATATGACTTTAGAAATATTTCATAATAGTAACAATAATTGTAGTGACTGATATTTTGGTGGAAACTATGCTTATCGTGGTAAAGAGTCAGTAAACGAACATTTTCAAATTCAATTTAATATTGTATTTATTAACAATGGCCATGAAGATTTGTCATTGGCTTTGTCATGAATTAACAGTAATTAACCGTAAGTAGTTATTTACTAGCAGAATTATGTCTAGACATCCATTTACCAGTGTTGTGTTTATAAAAATATTACAAAAAAAAAAAAAAATATATATATATATATATATAATTTCTACAAAGAAAATAGCAACTAGTATTAGTCACCACCAGAAATAAATAAAATAAAAAATAAGCAAAATGCCAGAACGAATCTGATAGCTTCTAACATGAATTATTTATAAATATTTTACAATATTTTCATTCATTTTTATAACTGAATATATATGTGGAAAATAAGGGAAATTGTTTTCAAATCAGTGCATGTATTACAAGTTGGGCTGTAAAATCGATGTGTGTGTGTGTGTGTGTGTGTATATTAATATATGGCTGTCAAACGATTAATCGCATCCAAAATAAAAGTTGTGTTGTGTTTACATAATATATGTGGGTGCACTGTGTATAATTACCATATATATATATATATATATATATATATACACACACACACAAACATGCTTGTATATATTTAAGAAATATTTCATATATATACCGTGTATAGATTTATATAGAATTAATATTATATATAAATATAGATATTTTATATATAACTAATATTTTTTTCTTAAATATACATGTGTGTGTATTTATTTATATATATATATATATATATATATACAAAATAATTATACACAGTGCACCCGACCCATATATATTAATATGTAAACACAAACTTTTATTTTGGATGCGATTAATCGCTTGACAGTCCAGTATTAATATTAAATATATAATTCAGTGCGTGTATATACACACACATACAGTATCATTATAAATATATTATGTTTACACAGACTTTTATGTTAAGATGTGATTAATCGATTTTACAGCCCTAATTAAATAAACATTTAATCCAATTAATAGATCATTGTTGGTGTAGTAGACAATAAGCAGTCATCCTAAGGTACAGTAATGCTTGTTAATACCAGCTTACAAACAGAGTTAGTGGGAGCTGATACGTCTAAACATTCAAAGATGTCCACACTTTTGAAAGTATGCAGATATAGAACAACACAAGAAGCTGCACATCAATAGAGCACGTCTTCTGTGTTTATTATGCTGTTATTACAATAGCATGAGTGATGTGCAGCTATGAGACAATGCGTGAACCTGTGATCAGATGCATTTATTATCACGTCTGATGATCACGGCCACTTCAGCACAGCGATGATGATGACGATGATGATGATGGTGAAGGTGGGACCGTTATGTGTCTGCAGACATGTTGGACACATGCATCAGGACAGGCGGATAAAAACAAAGACAGACACACACACACACACACACACACACACACGCACGCACTGGGCCATGCAACACTCTGCGTGATGATGCTCGCGCTTTATTATAGCACGAACGGCAGATTTTGCAAACAATACACAGAGCGCGCGAGGTGCAGGCCTTACCGTCCGTGTCTGCTCAGCTGTCTCTGAGAGCTGTCTGAGGACTGACACACATTCAAAAAGGAGGCTGAGTGATTTATTAAGATACTGAGGGAAAAAATTAACCATTTACAGCGCGAGAGCGGAAGCGGAAGTGAGGAGTAGACACGTGCCGCTGCGTCGTGTACTAGAGGAGCGCGTGCTGGAGCAGAGACAGACATGAAGAGGCCGAGTGAGTATATACTCTCAGAAATATTATTATTTACGTACTTTAAGTTTATCAAAGCAACGTTAATCATTATATTAACCCGTTGTTTGCTAAAAGGATGTAATAAACTATCGTAAATACGTAGTCAAACACTGACGGAACACACGTGTCTTTTGTAGAGTTGAAGAAGGCAAGCAAACGCGTGTCATGCGCAAAACGCTTCAAAATACAGAAGAAGGTAAGATTTCAACTCTACATGTACATTACATAAGTTAATATGGGCTTTTGTAATTTACAGCCATATATATCTATACATATATGGGTCAATGACATGACATGCATATTTTTGTGTCCAGGTTTCCTTTTGAAATAATTTGATAAATTAATAAATTAACTGCTTTATTCTTTAAACCGCTTTAGTTTGAATGAATTTTTAATACGTTTAAATAATACTTGTTGTTTTATGTTTTGTTTTCTTCTTGAACCCCTCAAAATGTCTGGTGGTAAAAAAAAAAAAACAAGAAAACGATTTAAAATGGTGTCATGATAAAAAAAAAAAAAAACATGAGCTATGGCATCATTTTAGGTTTGAAATCTTTTATATAAATCTTTTAGAAATATCAGTAGTTTAAAACTGTTAAGATAATTGAACCACTTTTGTTCAGCTATTTGTATATTTTTCTAAAGTTAGGGTGGCACATCCGCAAACATGGATCATTTATTATGAATTGGTAAGTTAATAACAGTATACATATTAATGCGTCATCCAGAGGAGCATAACTGGAAAAGAAGTGCACTGGGAATCATTTTCAAATTTACAAATATGTTTATTTAAGCAAGTAAAAGCTGATGAGAATATAGACAAGTAACCTTTTATATACAATTGAACGTCCGGTTTACTTGTCCAAAGGATAAACACATGACAAGGCTTAATGTTGTTTATTATTATTGCACATTTGGACACTTGCCATTTTTTCTTTTTTGTCTTTCTCAATTGCTAGGTTCGGGAGCATAACCGTAAATTAAAGAAAGCGGCGAAGAAGACGGGGATAAGCCGAAAGCCGAAGAAAGATGTTGGAGTACCAAACAGTGCACCGTTTAAAGAGGAGGTGCTTCGAGAAGCCGAGCAGAGAAAACAGGAGGTAAGATCGTTACTAAAACCAGTTCATTTTTTCAAACTAATAGTCAAAGTATCAATTACTGAAGCATATGTCTATGTGTATTTACACACATAGTTTGGTTTGTTTGGTAACAGAATTTATATACAGCAATTTCATTACAATCAAAGGCGGAAAATTTATCCAAGTATTATGTTGTTCTTGAAGCTTGAAGCTCTGAAAGAGCAAAACAAGATTGTAAAGAAGCAAGAGCGAGCTGCAAAGAGGAAAGAGGGTAAAGAAGCTGCCAGTGCCGGAGTCGAACCTGCAGCCAAGAAAGCTAAAAAGGTAAGAGGAGTGTTGATGGATTTACTAACGAAGTAAATCACTGACTCTAGCTTCACTAACTCAAACTTTATCGATTGTTTGCAGGGGACCAAAGTTAGAGAAGCAAGGGCTGCGGTAGCGAAAGAGAAAAGCGCTAAAACATTCAAATGCTGCGAGCTGAACAAGGCAAGTTAACAAACTGATATCCAGCGTAACAAACTGACAAGGTTGATCTTACACGGGATTGAATTCTTGCGCAGGTTATTGAGGCATCTGACGTGATCGTGGAGGTTTTGGACGCGAGAGATCCTCTGGGCTGCCGCTGTCCTCAGCTGGAGGAAACCGTCCTCAAACACGAGGGAAAGAAAAAACTCTTGTTCGTATTGAACAAAATAGGTAGAGAGCAGTCTGGATTGCCATACACTTAAAGGGTTAGTTGACCCAAAAATGAAAATGATGTCATTAATGACTCTCCCTCATGTCGTTCGTCTCCAGAACACAGTTTGAGATATGTTAGATTTAGTCGGAGAGCTTCATTGGAAATGTGTGTACGGTATACTGTCCTTGTCCAGAAAAGAAATAAAGACATCATCAAAGTAGTCATGTGACATCAATGTTTTGAAGCATCGAAAATACATTTTAGTCCAAAAATAACAAACTCCGACTTTATTTAGCAGTGTGTTGTGGATCTCGACATGAGGTCATTAATGACATAATGTTCATTTTTGGGTGAAGTATGATGGAAACGTTACTAAAGTCTCTCTTTACTTTTTAGATCTTGTTCCTAAAGATAAACTTGAGAAATGGCTTGGGTATCTTGATGCTGAGTGTCCAACTTTTCTCTTCAAAGCATCCATGCAACTAAAGGACAGAACTGTGGTATGTGTTTCCATAATGCACAGCATTCGTTAAAGTGCCCCCATTATGCTGATTTAAAGTCTCCTACATTAGGTTTACATGCGTCAAAGAACGGTTTCATTTTCTCACAATACCGTAAAACTTCTATTATACCATGGTCTGGGTGAATACTCGATTCTGATTGGCTGCAGGGTGTCTGTTAAAGTGATAGAGGACACCTAGTAAAGTAGTTCTGGTGAAACTGCCTGTTTACCATTCGAAATTAATAAATAGAAATAAATGCGCTGCCTACAACAGCTGTGAGTAACCATAGCAACAGGCAGTCAAAGTATCCGTTAACAATTTGCTCCATCAAAACGTTAGTTAGATATTACATAGCATACTAATACAACAATGAGCGACTTCGTTATTTCTTTTAACATTTATGGAGAATATGACAACTTTGACGACTGATGGGATGCTGCTGAAGAAAGAAAAAATGTAAATAAAACGGAGAAACGTCGCAAAGTAAATTACAGTTTTATGCAGCTGTCCAGACAACCAAGGCAGGAGGAGAGTACAGCGTTTCAAGCCTAAGGAGCCTGTTTGATTAATTTTTATGTGTAATAAAAAAAAAAAATAACTATGCCTACCTTTGTGTTTCATGAAAAAAAAAAATGCATTTTTGAACCTGAAGGGTTCGGACTATAAATATCTCCGGTTGCTGAATAAACCAGGCAAGTTATTATTTGTAAAAACTAGATTTAGCCTAATTAAAATATAAACTAGCAGCTAATGTTTTATTTGGCAAGTGACCATGGTATAAGCGGGTTAATGCCCTCCGAGGTGTCCATTGTCAGGTTTTAATGGACTTAAACCTTAAAACCTCCGCTGCGCGTCGGCCGGTTCACGCCTCGCTGCCGTCCATTAAAACCTGACCATGGACACCTCGGAGGGCATTAACCCTTACATAATAGCCGAGTCCCGAATAGACGCGTATCTCTTTTACACGCCTGTTGTGGCTGCAGGTTTGGGTAAATAGAGGCCGGCTCTATTTCGGGTTATACAGTGGTGTGAATAAGTTTTGGCACCCATGCTAAAGTTGCCTAAAAAGAGGAATAAAAAAATCATCTTTTGGATATTGATCTTAATGCCTTAATTAGAAAAATGAGGAAAACTCCAACCTTTAAGGACACAAATTTTCTTTGTGAATGAATAATGTATCATAAATAAATAAATGTTTTTCCTTAAAATACAGCGTGCATAAGTCACGGCAGTCCTATGTTAAATTCCCATAGAGTCAGGCAGATTTTTATTTTTAAAAGCCAGTTATTTCATGGATTTAGGATAATATGCATCCTGATAAAGTTCCCTTGGCCTTTGGGATTAAAATATCCCACATCATCACACACCTTCCACCACACCTAGAGATTGGCATGCTTTTACTTCAGTTAGCCTAATAGCTGGTTTGATTTGCATTGAAAGATGATCTTATGGAAAGTACCCCATGCCAATCTCTAGGTGTGGTGGAAGGTGTGTGATGATGTGGGATATTTTAATTCCAAAGGCCAAGGGAACTTTATCAGGATGCATATTATCCTGGATCCATGAAATAACTGGCTTTTAAAAATAAAAATCTGCCTGACTCTATGGGAATTTAACATAGGGGTGCCCTGACTTATGCACCCTGTATTTTAAGGAAAAACATTTATTTATTTATGATACATTATTCATTCACAAAGAAAATTTGTGTCCTTAAAGGTTGGAGTTTTCCTCATTTTTCTAATTAAGGCATTAAGATCAACATCCAAAAGATGATTTTTTTATTCCTCTTTTTAGGCAACTTTAGGATGGGTTTCCAAACTTATTCACACCACTGTATTTAATCTTCTAAAACCCGTCAGATCGTCCGCTTTTACTGGCTGCTAAAGCACATTTGTGTCCCGCCAAAGCCTTTTTTGATCGGTGAGCAGAGAGACCACATCATTGTTTGCTTAAGTGCACTCACGGTCACTTCATAATCTCCATTTTACAGTCCCAGAAGAAGCAGAGAGGAACTAATGCAGTTCTGGATCACAGCAGAGCGGCTTCATGTTTCGGACGGGACTGTCTCCTACAGACGCTTTCTGACTTGGCTAAAGAGAAAGATGCCGAGACCATGCTTAAAGTTGGCGTTGTCGGTAAGACGACTTGTCATCTGTATTAGGGCTGGGTATCGACACAAATTTCACAATTCGATTCGATTTTGATGCAATCTTGATTATTTTGGAGATCAGGTACAAAAATACATGGCAATTTTTCTCAAGGAAAACAAATCTCTTAACTAATGCTGTAGCCTACTATAACATTGGTAAATATAGACGGATTTGTATACAAACACTTAAATTACACTTATTTATTTTTATAATAATTAAATTATATGAAATAAACATTTAAATCGTGGCTGTCATAAAAACTAGCCAGATTTATTCAAACATACATTAAAAATTATAATGAATGTGTAGTATGGTGCATATATATAGCAAAATGCTCCTCTAGAGTTAATTTTTCTCGCTGATTAACGAGTTTATGGTCACTGGATATGGTTTTTCTGAGGTAAATATGACGTTGTTTTACTGACGTAGTTTCCATGTGA